TCTCCGGGGGCTTCCCTTTTTTGCCAATAAATTGGTCACTCGACCGTCATACTGTAACAACAGTCAAAGGTATTTATTCCGATCGCCATGTTCTTTTGATAACGTGTTATTCTTACGCGCTCAACTGTTCACAACTTCCCTACATTCTTAGGAGAGATTCGTATTTTATTGGCAAAGGATCGGTCACGAGACATCTCGAGCACTAATGACTTCACGTCTTTTAGAATCCTATCCTTTCTTTGCAGCAATCGTGCACGCAAGCAGCCCTCGCATCACAACTTCCTCGGAGCTTCATTCCATTCCTGTAACAACGATAGCAGACCTCCACCTGACCAACAATCACAATCTTCTTGACAGCCTTAATTAAATCATTTACCCGATGCAAAAAGTACACCAAGTAGTAAATTCGAAGAAAAGGATGGGTTAATTATCATAGTTTTCAAATGTAAAAATCTTCTTAATAATTAATATGACCTAGACTTCAGTTCATATAAGTTCATATATCTCAAAATTCATATACATATATGGATTTGAAAATTTTATCTAAATTTTATTAATTAATTAATTAAAATACAAATAAATGAATAAATAATTCTTTTCATCATAACATCTATGACCAGATCATTTATTGTTTTCTCTTCATGCTTAAAAGTTGGACATGCTAATTCCCAATGCTTGAAAAACTAATTTTGGTCTCTTAAATTACACCCAATGTACCTCATTGTCTCAATCATTCAAGTTTAATTTTCTTTAAAATTGGTAAAATTTATCTCTAAATCTGGTAAAAAAACATGTATGTGAATATTAGCTTGTTTGTGTATCATGATTATATGACATGCTCAACTACTAATTCTACCTTAACAATGTTTTATTGTCCATAAACCATTATGAATGATACAAAGCAAGACCATTTCAAAGGAGTAGATACTCCTTTGAAAATGAAGTGGTTGTCTTGCAACCAAATCAAGTTAGAGTAGAAGTAACTTGATATGGGATTATAGTTTGAAGTAGTTTCATACTTTTAATCACGTTGTTTAACAGCTATTTTTTTTTATTTCACATATTATAGGATTTACGATGCGTGATTATTCATAGTCTTTTGTGCGTACAAGTGAAACAGCATGAAATACTTATGAGTTATATCTTTTGCTTTTGCTCTAGAGTTATGTCAAACTAGGAACATTACCTATGAGAAATTCCATGAGATTACCAAGATTGGTCTTTAAGATATCGTACTTTAAATTATGGTGAAATATATTTTAATGAATATGTTTATACTGGTATGTAAATATCACTTACTTATACAGAGTTCTCTAAATACGGAAATCCGTCAATGGAGTTCCATAAATTTTGTATTTGGTTTTCAAGAAATTTCGTATTTCAAATAAATAAATCTTTATAGACGTAACTAGAGAGTGATAAAAGTTTAACTTTCTAGTTCCGGTTGTTAAAAGCTCTTACAAATTTGTTTGGGGTTAAAAGGCGCTCGCACGATAATTTAATTTGACTACATTTTTGGTAATTTGCTGCCTGAAGTCCCCCGAACCCGCTACAAAGCGACCATGCAATGTTGTAGGTCACAAAACTCTATTTCAACCGAAACAGCTGTTACAGTGCATTGCAAGTTCGTGATCTTCAATCCCAAAAAACTTGTTAAAATTGATTGGTTGGACTAACCACTTTGCAATCTAAGCAAGATGGACGTTTCTGAAATATTAAGATCTTATGGAAGTTTCTTGGCTACAAAATTACATTGATGGAATAACGTATAAACACAAGCAGCTTTTGGTCTTTGTGCGCCCTGAACATCGGTTCTGCCATGCCTTAAATCGTTTGACAAACAAATCTTATCTGATTTTAGTGAAGCTTGGACTATTCCAGTCATTAGGTTTACTCATGGAATCTTTTGGAGTATTAGCATTTTCTAAACACTGCCTCCCTAGAAGGGAAAGGGATTTCAATGTTGAAATGGGAAAATTATCTTCACATATCCAAAACAACACTCAAATCTCTCAAAATTGTAACCAAATTCAAATCTTTTGAATAAAACAAGAGAGTTTGGTACTAAACTCCATATATTACATATTTTGTTTTGATGATAACCTTTATTTTGTTGAAATACAAAACATACGGAAAATTCCCTATATACAGAGGCCTGCTTAAATATGATATCAATCACGTAGTATGATATTTTTTTAAAATTATTCACTGTTAGTAAATTATTTGATTTGTATAATTACATTTTTTACTCTGGTACCAGTGGAGCGTAGCACATGTAAGAAAGGATTTGTAAAGTATCAGGGCAGTTTTATGGGATAGATATATAGTATTTTTTTAATATTTTAATTCATATTGAATCAACCCAGGCTTGTTCCCAAGTTACATTGCTCTCTATAAAGATGTACTCAGATAACATAATTTGGTGCAATAACATGTACAGTACTCAGTGATGTGATGTTATGGGGACTTCTGCATCTCGCGGTACCTGTACAAGGTGATGCGGGCATTCCCATCCTTTGGGCAATGTTACGCGCGCATGACGAACGGTCATCCACGCACAAAGAGCTGCAAAGTGGGAATGAGACGACGAGGAGGAGGAGGCAATCTACGTCCAAAGTCAGCGACCCCAGACGGCGAGAAAAGCGCGCCCAGAGGGCTCTCAAATGAAATACGAAGCAAGTGTTCGCGCTTTGCGACTCGATCTCAAGGGCGTCGGGTCTCGTGCATTGCACGAGCCACAGGACGCTCATTTCAGCATCGGCAGATATTTCGAGAATGGTGAGCTGCTAAGTACACTTCCAAGCGACAGAAGCGAAGAAAATCCATCCACCTACGTCCGTCCATCCGTCCGCGGCTTCGTTACGGTGCGGGTGGACGGACGGACGGACGGACGGACGCGATGCAAATTCGAAATGTCCGCTTCGACCTCGCACGTCACGACACCGTCGACCGTGAGCGCAGTTCCGTAATCGCTGTCCGTCCGTCCACCGAGTCAATGCCTCCGGTGCTCAATCATTAGGACGACAAGGGGCGCGACTTTATTTCCGAGGTTCTTCTATTTTGCCGCTGAGGGTTTCTTGAGGCGTCGATAGGATTGTGTACGATCGATTACTCGGGAGGCCGAATTGGGCCTCACGCGTTCAGCGCCAAAATGCATGCTCACGTCACCGTCCCGAGAATCCAAGAGCGGTTCCGAATGATCAATCGTCTGCTGTACAAAGGTCAAAGTTGCAACTCTCGAGAAGAGTTCGACAGGGTGGTCGAACATCTTGAGGTGCGGTTCAATTCCTTCCGTCTTGGTGCACAACCACAGCCCACCACGCCCAACAACTCACGCCCCACCAATGCCCCGTGCAGTGTATCTCTCGCCTATCTGCCTTTTTCAGAGCAGTTCTCTCCATCGACCGTCGATCTTCCGTCCGATTCTCCATGAGTCAAAGGCAAGGTTGTGAAGTGCGTAGCCTTGCGCACCCCCATCTCGAACGTAAAGTTCTCTCATCTTTCATTTCACGAGGGTTTTATTCACTTGATTGCATACGGCGCACGGTAACTCCAAACGATAGAAATTTCCTCAAGCTCATCTCGTAAAGAGCCCATCGCTATGTTTGTTCCTATGCGCCACTACAGTCTTCAATATAGAAGAGGTATTTATACTAAATGTGTGATACGCCGCGATAAACGTGAAACTAAGGAATCGAGATGTGAAACATAATAGCTCAGTATATTTCGAATCTCGATTCCTTTCACTTACAAAAATAACTCGAAAATCAGAAATGGCCCTGGAAATCAACGAGGCACGATGTTAATGTGGTCTTTCTGTGATGTGGAATCTCCTCAGCTCCATGTAAAAGACCAACAGTGATCGCCATTACACATAGAGGATTCCTGTTTACGTAGAGTATGTATCGATAGATGAAATTCAAACATATGCATAGACTTCGTACATGGTTCAAGATGAGACGGTAGATGCAGGATAGTATGTCATTGGTCCCTTTGTCCGACAAGGTCTTCATTGGTACACTTTGTAGTTTTCGTTATTTTAGGTTTTTCAGGGTACAGGTACTGACTGTACGCACTGCAGTGGCAGGCTATAACGACGGATCATGGAGGCCAGTCCGCTGCATACGAAACATACGTACGTCCAGGTGAATTATTTAAGAGATAAACAGCAGTAGCAGACCTCGCCTTATCCGCGAACAGTGCAAAGTTTTGGTCCAAAATCCGCCGAGGCTGACGCCACGGCGAATTTTCTATGTTCAAACATTGTAGATTCAAAAGGCTTGAGTGGAAGGAAGCGCAACTGTTCGTGAACTTTGAGAAGCCCCAATATTTTTATTGCTGTCACGCCTGATATATGCTGCGGCTGCTTTCCCTCGGTGGATGACCCTCATTGTTCAACACACCTGAGTACAGTGAGGCGATGATATCCAAAACTGATTCGAATGTGGAAGCTAATTATTCGAATCTATCGACCGTGCTACTGTCCGAGGTGTCACAGCGGCAAGCTTCGGTTTTGAAAGATTTATTTGATTTGATGATTGCTGTGACCACGAGACTGGCACGATACGCGTTCGCCTCCCCTCGCATCCAATGTATGGGTGTAACTTCCAAGTGTCGCTTATCTGATTCAGAAGTTTCACTCATGGTCAAATCCCGACCCCACCGGTGTTGCCTTAAGACGAGGACCTTTGCGGCTTTGCGTTTTCCTTGCCCGTCCATCGGGTCTACCTTCGACAGAGTGTTCCCGCGGTTGCAATCACTCCCGGCTGATCAATGTTACCCGGAAAGATTGCAGCGCAGAGGGTTCACCCACTTGCGCTTCGGCTGCCGAATTAAAACCCTCGGTCGGGTTACCTCTGCCAAGTTGGACAGTCAAGGGAAAAGAAGTGCGGCGAAGCTCTTTGCTCAAAATCTGGTAAGCAGTGTACCAAGCAGGGTAAGCAAATAACAATTGAAAGACAGAAGTGCTCAAACTAGCACTCGTTGCAAGGAGTGTTGTGGAGACGAGACATAGATTGACAGAAGTGGGCTGCACAATTTGGGTCAAATTGTTTGAATCAGTCTTCAACTGATTCGATCATCTCATTTCAGCCGCAGATCGCTTAGCACGGAGCGTTTGCCGCGAGCGTCTGAGCCTGTGAGTATTTACATAGCGAGCATAAGCTCCGAAGTAGAGCTTATTTCGTGAATAAATTGAATGTTGCCATTTCGCGTAAACTACTCCTATATCGTTCAAGATCACCTGCCATGGAGCCAAACTACTCTAGATAGTGCCCAGCCTACGGCTCATGTAATTTATTTGCAGCGCAAGTGACGGTAAACCTGGCACTTAATAATTTTCTTGTGAATTTGGAATCCTGGCATGCTCATGAATTCGACCTTGGGACCTTTACACCTCCTGCAGCCTTCGTCGATGGCCGTGACTTGTTCCACGTACTGTGAGTTGGCGTCCATGCCCTTGCCGACCCGGAGAATGGTCACTTGCGGGTGCACCGAGAAAGCGAGCCGGTGCAGCAGCCAAACACACTTGGCCGCGTCCAGAAAAGCTCCGGTGAAAGTCGACCTTTCTTCGGAGTCCTTGAACACGATGTTCCACGGGAACAGAAACCACATCTCGCGCATCTTGTTCTCGCAGAAGGTCCAGAACTCCGGGTCGAAGGCTTTGTGCTGCGAGTTCACAGCCTGGATCGCTTCCACCAGCTTCAGACGCTGGAAGTCCTGAAACCTGGCGATGCACCTCTTCTCGGGATCGATAATTCTCGTGAGTCCCGTGTCGTCGAAGCTGTCGTTTTCGAAGCAATGGAATAATGCTCTGTTGAGCCGCGATTCCAGCACGAATGCGGTGTGTTCCTTCTTCAGAAACTTGGTTTGAGGCTCGATTTCGGCCAGAGTCCGCCAGACCGAATAGCCCGACACCTCCATCTGCTTCATGAACACCTTGCAGAAGTACCGCACGGCCAGACGCGCTTTGACCACCGCCATCTCGAACAAGTGCACGATGGCCGACAATTCCGCATCCTGCAGTTTCAGAGTCTGAAAGTCCAGAAAGGGCTCTTCCGCTTGCGGCACGTGATTGCGGTCGTGCCGAGCTTTGCCGCGCTCTTCCGCCGCAGACGAAGTGTCGCTCGAGGACTCCGAGTACCGGATGCCTCCCACCGTGCTCGGCGCCACGAAATTCATCTCCGGGTAGCTCTCCTTGGCGTGCGGGATCGAGGGCAGGAAGATGGTGTCGGGAGTGGCGGCCGAGTGCGCCTGCAGCTGCTCCAATTTCCACTCCAGCATTTCGATCGTATCCTGCTTCATGGCCAACGCCGTCTGCTGCCTCTTGCTCAGCTCCAGCAGCGCCAGCGCGCGGCTCTTGGCCCACGCTTTCTTCTCGTTCGTGTCACGGCCCCGGCGGAAAAAGCAGCCCAGCATGCTCCCGATTTGGCGAAACGGACCGCGGCGAGCTCCTTTCTGGCACACTTCCCGCAGCGCGTCGTCGCTGTAGAACATGAGCGGCGCAGTGTGGCTGTCGTCCAGGAACCCATTGTTGGGCTCGCTCAGGCTCAGGCTCCTGCCTTTCTGATGCCGCGCGTTGGATTGCTTCACGCAGTGGTCCACCGAGCATTCCATCGAGTGCATCGGCGCCGTGTGGTAGTCGCCCGTCGGGTAGTATCTGTAGTTCACTCGGACGCATGACTCGCCGCAATCGCTGGACGGCGAGCTGCCTACGCTCGATGGAACTCGGCCTCGATAGTCCTGCGCAACGAAATCCAACACTTTCAGGGCTCATCCCGGGCACTTGGCGCAATGCTCGAACCGAGCAGAAAATGCGGTCACGCTTTCATGGGTGCGGTGATGATACCTGATGGTGCGCAGCGCGATGCATGACACGTTCTTGAGTGTAATTCCTCTCCATGACAGACCTTCGCAGTTCCTCGAGTGTTGAGTCTGGCGACTGTTCGCTCTGCACACGGAGAGATTATCAGACCTCACACTCGCTCGTTGCAGCACGTGCCCAGGCGGACTCCTTCACCCCATCCACCACGCACAGGGACGACAGCAGCACGATATTCAACCGAAATGCAGATACCAAATTACTCCGGAGGAAATCAACCGATCGAATATGCATGGCTCGAAGCTTTCCACTTACCTCCTGGAAGTACGCAACTACTGAGTCTTCAAACGACGTTCACAGCTTTTTCCTTCCCTCCATCCGGCAGTCTCACTAGAATCATAAAATTGTCGATGACTGGAATTTTGCGCTCCAACCAACTTGACATGCTTCGAAGCTCTCACTCAACCCAGCGACTTCCAAAACCACTGCCTCCGAGAAAGCACCAGATGTTTCCGTTCGCACATCAGTGACTTGTTCACGACGAGCTGAAATCAGCGAGCTGCCAAAGGTACTGCAATTTTCGAGCTAACAATCATCCGACATGATTTGACGGGCTGTGCGTCTGTCGAGTGGGCAGGTCGGGTCGGGTCAGGTCAGGAGGAGAAAATAACAACGACCAGCGAGGAGGCCGAGAAGAGAAGCAGAGAGTGAGAGTGAGAGCGTGAGAGAGTGAGCTGAGCTCAGCTGGACAAAGGCGATGTCTGTCAGTCGGGAGTTGCAACGAGCAAATGGCTCTGCGAATTCTTGCGTCTGGCGCTCGCAGAACGATCACGAGACGGAGGAAACGACGAATGGCCCCAACGGCATGAACTCGCACTGACTGGTCATCTGGTGCGAGCGAACGTTCGAACACAGAGCGAGCTCAACGGCAGAGTTTCAGGCGATTCAGACAAATGACTTGAAGCCGCCTCCAGGGGCCTCCAAATTTCAGATTCCCGCCCGCCCGCACGCACGCATCCACACCCACCGCCGCAGGTTTCATGTCACTTTGCGGATGCCTTTGGCTTTACGTCCGGACGTCCGTCTATTCGCCCTCACTGCTTTCGAGAAGATTCCTCGTCTTCGGAGACGGAGACGGGAGCTCCGGATCTTCTGAATTAGTGCTTCGATTAGAAATAGGAATAAGAAACATCTGATTTGCATAATGCAATTTTCTGACACTTTCGAACGTACCTCGCAACTCTGACCTATTCAGTAGTTCGCAGAATGTATTTATAATTGGAAAGGTGTAAATCAATCTTCTTAACCTCTAGTTTCCATTGAATGAACAATTGGTTTCCGGAATTATGAATCTAATTCTTCACTAAAAAAATTCACACATAGTTATTTTTCTGTTTATTATTTACTTCATCTCTTCAAGTTTTTCTTATCAAATGAGCATATTTTTCAGTATAGACAAATTATAATTGATCAAAACATCACAAACCTAGGCTGGTTATTATTTTCATGATAAGTGCATAAGGTTTTGTTTCAAACTTTTATAGTTCTGGGAAGAACAATTTATTGATTCAAACAGGCTAAGATGTATTCGAATAAAATTTTGTATATAATCTTGAAAAAAAAAATTATATTCACATAGAGCACCATCCCTTGTGTTTATACGTTATATGTGTATACTAAGTATGAATCTATTCACTTGTCACAAAATTCAATGAATATAATTTTATACCTCGTATTTGAAGAAAAGCCATTTCGTATGTATTGCATTAGACATGGAAATCAAAATGTTCACAAAATCATATTTAACTAATTGTGTGAGTAATTAGTATGAGGCTATGATTAATTTGACGATGAAATCAATGAACAATCATATTCAAGTTGATGTCAAAATAGTCTACCTTCGAGTAGGAAAACTAGTCAAATTCATCCAATCGGTTCCGGCTATGATATATCCAGTAAACCCTTTCATTGATAACAACCTCATGTCCGAATCCATAATCCTCATAATCCAGTCCGAAGCAAACTGAATGATCAGAAACTGCATGATCGTGTGAACCCAACCTGATTTCTAACAGGTGTACAATTTAACGTGGCGAATTCCGTCTAGCTTTGACCGACGAGATCCCTGCTTTGATCTTTGGCCTCCACCCCCTGCCTCTGGCGCTGCTGAGCGTATCGCAATTTGCGTCCGAAGGTCCACCTCTTTCGACAAAAAATCACTCTGACGCAGTACTTGGAAAGGCATTATACTGAAGTACTGTACTGACAGATTACGAAAGCAAGAAGGTATGCAAAAAGTGAGATGATACGACTGGCTCGGGATTATGAGAAACTGAAATCTGGGTCAACAGAGCATGTTTCCAACGTTATGGTACCTTGCCGGGAAAAGCGTCAAATAAGTTTTAGCATAGATTCGTGAACCTACACTTTCCAGGAAATAACCTCTCATCCATTCTTAAGTGGACTACGCTGAGTATATTGGAATGGACCAAGTAATATAGAAAAGACGACAATAATTGTCTAACATAATTGTCATCGCAATGAGAATGGTGTTTATTTGAAAAAACTTATACTATCTGTCTTCATTGCCTATGAGTCATAGGCAATGACTGACTTCCCTTCTTTTCCGAAAAATGAATCTTTCATTCTCCGGAATACGGATCCATCCGAGTAATATGGAGTATAATAGAGAAGAAAAAAAATTAGAGTTTATCTTAAGCAGAAAATGACAATATTGACTCTCTTTCGTGATATTTTAAAGCATTCAAGTGTGATTTGACCTAAGTCTATGTATTCATGTCAGGCCACCAAGCTAATCTACAACCACAAAATAACGTAATGAAGAAGAAAATAAATGTAGCTATCATCAGCTCTTTATAAGAATTGTCAATGCTTGGGCTTACGCGAACATTCCTACCCAAAAATGCATGATAGAACCTTTATAACTAAAAAAATTATAGGCACGTAAGTATTGAGACACCAGTCAGTCCTCGTTTGGTAGAAAGGACATCTTCAAACTATGCGTGGAAGCCAGATTTAAGATTGTGGTGCTGTTCGCAAAGTTTTAGAACTAATGGGTTTGTTCATTCGATGAAGTTTCATCTATTTATTCGAAAGTGCAGACTTGCAAACGGGACCAAGATATGAAACTTCACCACGTGGATCTACCACGCAGGGTCTAATACGGGGCTGAATCTTCTAAGTTGGGAAGAGAAGTAATGCATGTGGGAGGACAACGTGCCTTACTTCGAGATTAAATATTGCTCATAGAATGTAATTGGATGTTAGAAGCTTGTTGCATATAGATGTTGGTATGTGCAAATTTGTTGTTTGAATTGGAAAATTCTCCCGGAAAGCGTGACACAAGTGACAGATCCACATTGGTGAGACTTATATCTTGTTTGAGGCGAAAGTATTGTGCTTGGCATCTTTTTCGCAGAATCGTGTCATGAGATGTCGACACTATGTTCAAAATTTGGGATGATCGAATGTACTTATTCATGAAATAGCGCTCGTAGGGTTGAAGAGAATAATAGTGCTAACACGCCAAGATTTGAAACATCAATACTTGAAAAGTAAGTCATGTGTTGTGTGATTTGTTTCAACCTTGTGTCAAGGGAATCAGAAGTAGACTTCTTTTTCTTGGGAAAAAACATCGAAGGCCAAAATGTGTGTACTAGTGTACACACGTGCTATAGCCTAGTGTTCCCCGGACCCTCAAGAGTCTCGTCCTTTGGATGGTCTTCTTGTTGCCATCCAATAATCTGAGCCAAAAAAAATTAAATTAAATCTTACTTGAATCAAGTCGAAGTTGTTGGATTGTTCTTTTCATCCTTGTATCCAAGGTTTGATCAACTTTGATTTTTAACAGATTTATTTACTCATTACTCCTATTAAATCAGTCCCCATCCTTCTATATATTCTCATTGGATGAAGTTAAATTTGATGAAAAGCTCGTCATACAGTCACACACAAGTTTCGATTCAGTAAATGAATTCTTTAGATGCTCGTTGAATCAATTTATTTCAATTTTCAGCTTTTTACTTTTGAAATACTTCATGTATTCTCTGAATAGTTGGCATTAGAATTTGTTTGTTTCGGCTTACGTCGAACCCTGCGACGTCAATCAGGATACAAAAAAAATTGAAAAATATATAAGAAAACATAGATATTATTAAGGAAAAAAAAAGCAAATCAAGATCAAAACTGCTAAGGTTATGGTTCACAGTATAATAAGAAGAGAACTGAGAGATTTATTTCTTCTATATCTACTATATGAATAAAATTTCTCTGACTGTGAAGGTTGATGTAAAATGTTAATCTATGTGAAAATTAAGAGTAAACAAATCTTAAATTAGTTATACATGTTACAATTGCTACAAAACTTTATGTTAACTAAATTATCTATCCAAAATAATAAATAATATGTTTCTTACCTCAGGTATAGGAGCTTGACACGTTCCATACTAATTATCTGATTAGCAAGCTACAGAAAATTCAAGTTAGAAAACAGTGAATAAACAAGTGGAACACAAAAGTGTTGTTTGCCAAATAATTATGAAAAAATCTAAAATTGAAATCAGTGATATATGCAAGTTGTGATCATTAAAAAAATGGAATGTTGCCTTCAAATTGAAAATTATTATTTTTCTGAGGTGAGTATTTTCTTTGAGAATTTTTTTTCCAAAGATTACTTCATGAAAAATATACAATTCAAATCAGTGATATATGCAAGATGTGATCATTTTAAAAAAATGGAATGTTGACTTCGAAATTGAGAATATATTTTGTTCTGAGGTGAGTATTTTCTTTGAGGTTTTTTATTTGTAAAAAGATTAATTCACACAGCGAATATTTTTTTTCCATTATTTATTTAGATCTAGTACTTTATGTATGTTAATACACGTTAACCTCAATGTTAGGAAAGAAAAAATGTCATTCAGTTCCGATTTAAAACCAATTTAATCATAACGCTTATCTTTAAAATCAGCAATACTTTAAAAACATTTTTGCATCCATTGATATTATATTTTCACTAAAAAATACATATGGAAGCTTCTTATTCACATAGATCTTATTTTGTACACATTAGCACTCCATTTACCAATTGAAGAATGTAAATATTAACACAAAAACTTTAAACAGATCTATTAACATAAAAAATCATGTTGCAATAAACATTTCCAAAATCTTACACCTTATATCACTTACTAGTTTTTTTATAGTATTCATATGAACCAAATATTCATTTTTCAAAGTAAGTTTGTTAAACTATTTTTACACAAAAATGAGAATACATAGTTTTCATGAAAGATAAATTTATTTCATTTCACTAAAAATAATTAAAACAACCTCGGTTAGCACATAAATATTCACAATTATGATATAGAAAAATGTTAATTTCAAAACAACATAACATCACATAATTTTATGAAAACAATTAAAATCTACTACTCATCTACTATCATCAATATGTAGATTATAACTCGCAACTGTTGTGCAAGATTTTTTTCTGTTCTTCGAACTTACGAATGCAACTCTTGCAATTGGAGTGAAGTGTTTTACAGTTCCATGTGATTTAATATGTTTTAGTATACAATCCATTTTCACACTTGCTGTTTGAAACATCATCTAAATTGTTTGATGTAAGAGATTGAATAATAACCTTCAAGATTGGACGAATTTGATACAATGAATTCAAATCTTTGAAGTCATTAAACATCTTGACACAATAAATTACATGTCACAATATCCAAGATTTAAAAACAAGGTCGAAGAGGCATTAAGTTAGTCAAAACACTAGAGGATACGGTCTTCACCATGGATAGTAAGTTGATCTCTTTAGGGCATTCAGAAGAAGATGTATTTTGGGTGACAAATCATATGATGTCTTCATTAATCCACTGATTACTCATGTAAGAATTTGTCAAGTGTAATCGGAAGTCAAGTGAAGTAGTTACGCCTGCAATGTAAGTAGATGAGAAGACAAGAATACTGTAATGGATCATACCACACACGAAATTACTCTACATCCAGTCCATTTTCGTAGAGTCTGGGTTTATCGTGATAACTTGAGATGAACTTACAACCTCTCATGGAATGTTTACTTCATATATACGGTGGAGTGATATCTATTTCATAGGGTAGCATGTTGTGCAATATTTCAAGTATGATGAAGTGTCTAAACATTTTGGTAAAAGAGAGCCGCCTAGATCCATACATCTAGTAACACACTTCTATTCGGACTTAACTTGTGACGTCACGCTCCAGCAGCAAAAGTCATGAGCTCAGTGTCCTAAGTGATGTTAATTACAAGAAGGTCACCTTTCACCAACAAAAGAGGGAAGTCCAGGGAGAGCTTGCATGGCATCTTCACGCTCTAATCTTTATTGTTGAGAAAAGTTTGGTTACTACTAGGTATGCTTCTTTTCAACGGCATTGCAACATGAAAACAATAGTCGTTTTAAAGAAAGTCCAATTTGTAAACTAAAACGTCACCCAAGAATTTTCTTGATCATTTCTGTTTTCGACGCAAATTGGAACTTTACATGATTTGCGTGTCTGAAAAGTCGAGAACCTCTACGAAGTGCACAACTAGAACATATCTAATACGGCTTTCTGGGTCTAACAAGGGGCATCCAGAAACCCAAGCTCTATGCGGTATATATGTGCTACAGGGAAAGAGTGACGAAGAAAAGAAAAAAGAAGAAGAAGACCATGAGTTCAACCTCGAGGTGGTCTTCATTAATATCATCTCTCTTCTCGCTCAGACGGGCTTTCGAAACTCGATTGGTGACCTCAAAGAAGAAGTCTGAGCATGCGTTGCTGGGCATTACAACATTCTTCGAGATGATGTACGCTTAGCAGGGTTTGGTGTGGCGCTGGAGCAGGTAAAGTCTCCCTCCGCAGTGTACTAAGCAGTCTTCTTCGTTAGAGAAGGGTATGAAAATCCCCTGTATAGAAGCACGGCGTGACTATAATAAACAAGTTCAGATTTCAACTGACCAAGTAACGATCTGCCCGTCTGGAATGCCGGCTTCCGCGAGAAGAGTCCTCATTTCTTCTCTTTTGGAGCTCTCGACGCAGACGACCACACCGGTCGTCATGGGATCGTACTCAATGTCATCCTCGTCCCACAATGTGCTAAGAGTTCCTACAATTCCATCCCAGTTTTCACCGTCCGTACTCTCGACGACGGTTCTTACTTTGGCTCTCTTGCGTTCCCAGAGCCCATATCGGTCCTGCGTTGATAGAAATGTAAGATGAACACAGTCAGAACGATTTGTCTCCATCTTAAATTGAAGTCAAATGAAGCATAAAGAGAAGCAAATATACACGGAAAGAAACACCATGGATGTCCCGCCTGCGACTGTTGACACATGTACATCTTCACATCTTGATCACTCACAAATTGCATATTCGTAGCACACGCAATGCCATATAAAAAACCGAATTTCACGACGCGGGGTACAGAACTGTCAGACTCATGCCTTGTATGCCAGAGAGCTTGGGTTGGGAGCTTCATAGTAAAGTCGGACGTCTTCCCGGAGTCCCAAGTTCAGGGAGCCGTTGTCTCCATCTCTGCATTCCATAATGGCCCTGGCAACAGCTATTCCTTTGCCTTGGGCGAAGATAATCTGGGTGGAGTAACGGGTGAGGAACAGAATCGGTCTCAGATCTAATCCTGTTTGGCTAAAAGGTCCCAACTCGACTTCATCTCCTGCGCAGCACCCAGCCCTGAGTAGATCAGAAACGAACGACAAGACGTTGAACGCAGACTACACTCTTAAACATCCAACTGTCAATGCCATGAGTGGCGAGATTCGTACCAGCTTTCAGGTTGTACAGTGAAGCTGAATCCGCTTCCGTCACATGAAGATCGATAGGTGCCTTCGCAGCTAAAGAATATTGAGGTAATTTTGTTGTTCCAGCCGGAATGTCTCCTCTGATTTTGTACAAAACGGGTGCGTTTACTTCTTCAGAAAAAGGTGGACTTGCACATGCGACTCCTGTCAGGAGCTCTTCACCAATCCTGACCTGAGCAAGCTGACCAGCCTTCATGTACGCATGTTCAAGTTTCACTTGCTGCACGCGAAAGCCTAGTCTGTAAATTAGTCTGAACATGTTCAGTTGATGCACCAACAAATGGAGGGCTCTGCTGTGTGCTATGAGCGTACAAAGAGTAACTACCTTCCCACCTCAAGATATCACATTCCCGGAAAAATTAATCAGTGATAGATAAATCTCTCTGTCCTCACATTGCAAAATCCAGGAATTGGATGAGAATAATAGTCTCACGCTTGAGTGCGAGCACCCCTCAAATATTTAGGGATTAATCAAACGTCTTGACGAGCCGTAAACAATATCAGTGCGTGAGAGCTACGCACACACCAGCAAAAAACATCGAGTTAAAGGTTCCAAAAAGGACAGGCGAGGCAGACACAGTAACGGGAAATAACCTCTCTCGAGCATTCGGCAGTGAGAGTGATGCAGCGGGTACCCGTGGCCACCTCCTGGACATTAGCGACAACTGCAGGATGCCATTCCTTCGTCCCAACGGTGTCTATCTCAGTTATCGAGAAGATTTGTCCGTCCAATGTCTGGTCCTGCACTGCCCTCCTCGCTTTCACGAGCTCAGCCACATCTGACGACTCCGCTGCCTCCGTGCTCACGGCAGAAATGCGCGACACTCCTCTCTGAACTTGAAAGGCCACTCCCCTGTAATCGACACCTCCGCAAACTCGAGCTCTCGATGAGACTTGCTTTTCCACTCCTCTGACATTCTTCCTGAAAGCAGCACTGGAAGGAGCAACAATCCCCAAGGACTGTACAGTTGCCATGACGGGCAACGACGGCGTTCCGAGCTGATTGCAGCTTCGTCGAGATCACAAGCTCAGAATGACACTCGCGGATCTGACCTCGTGAAATCCTCAAATCTGCAGGATTGTTGAAGGGTTTAGGAAGTGGACGCAGTGCAAACATTTTTTGTGATTACATGGCAGTGCCAGGTGGCGTTCGGCGAAGGTAGACGAGCCTGATTGGGTCAATCCATATCCTAATAAGAGCTCTTGAATGGGCAAAACGATACGCTGGATTCAGCCATCCCTTTTACTATTTATTTCCTACTCCCCACATCTTGCTCTATTACTTGGCACTTCTCTCTTTTCTTCTCTTTACTTAAAGCTCAATTCGCACATAGGCCTAAATTTTCTTCTTCATACGTCACATTAAAAAAATATGAATAGACATATGTTGATCGAGAAAATAACGTAAATATTCTTAGTGACTCGGTTACTATTTTCTTCTTTTCAAAAAAAAATTATATCATTTTTTTAAAGTACAAAATAAAATATTTTGTAAATCTATCCTATTTGAAGGAATATCTACCTGTGTCAATCAATGTCCATGATTTATAGTTATTGAGTACTTTTTAATATAGCATTTTACATCATCAATAATCAGGAAATAATTGTTCAATCAAACATTATGAGATAAATTACATTGTTGTTATTAAAAAAAACATTCACAAAATTACAAATAGATAATTATTTATATTATTCATAAAGTACAATAAACTAGTGAATTTTTGAAATATGTGTTTTGATGTACTGTTACAATTCAGATTCAATTTTAACATCAGATCTATTATAAATTAAAATATGTAAATCAGTAGTAATAAGACTTTTGATGATCATGAGATCCGATCATTCAAAACTTTGAAAAAAAATTTAATTTTAATATCTAAAATAATTATTGAAAAATAATGCCAACAAAAATTTTCATGTATAAGTCATAATAAAATATAAAGTGATGAATATTTGGAATAAGAAACTAAATTTGAAATGATTTGTATAATCATCAATTCAATTATACAAATAATATGTGCAAGTAAATTTCAATAAAATATATGGGTATATAGCCAACCTATATGTTTGTAAAATGTTTCCGTAAATTAAGATACATTCTACATACATTGTAAAGTCATTCAAATATACTATTAGTTTAATTTTTGAATTATTAAGTTTTCATTATTAGTTATTCAAGCAACATATTATATAGCAATTTGATCATAACCTCAAACAAGATACACGCAGTTAACGAATGTTTTTTAACAATTTTTTAAATTCAACAATAATGTGAAACATAAAATCTAAAAATATAGTGAAACATTAAAGCAAAGCAATCAAATCGGGTTAAACATCATATAACACGATTCACTCTCAAGAGATCTAAGTACATAAGGAAAGATGATCCGTGTATTATTCCAGTACCATTAAGAAGTACCGAATATACATGCAGAAGCCGGGGTATCTAATCCCACTCCAATCTACCGTCCCCGCTATAAATAACTATGACCTGAGATTTCTCCTTAACTAGAGTTAATTTCAACAATCTGCTTCTTATCTCACGTTAAGAGACCAGTAACCTCTATAACATGCATTATTACTTTCTGGAAAATTCTAGACATAAATTTAACACAAGGAAACTTCTTTACACGAAAGTTAACTGTAACTCAACCGAAACTATAATAATGTAGTATAGTAACATAAAGAGTTAACTAAAAACCTGCTAGCATAGAATGAACATAAATCTAGTAGCCTATATAATTACTACGCGATAAGTTCTAAAAGAAACCTAACAGAAGATCATTCTTTACACAAGAGTTCACCGTAGCCATCACTAGATAGAATATGTATACATAAAGAGATAATTGAGGTACTTTCTTAGCAAACTCTACATGTATTCCCATGCACAACCTGCATGATAGCATAGTGTCTCCTCAAACTCTCAAAAGAAAATAACTTTGGTCAAAGTATCAAATGTATCAAGTTTAGTGTCAATTTTGACGAGTTCAATTATCAGAGTTTGAGTTTAATCTTGACTAGTTCAATCATCATAGTTTATCGTTAATATTGACTAGTTGAATCATCAGAATTTAACATCAATATTGACTAATTCAATCATGTGCTCAAGAATTCTACCAATCTTAGTGTTTTTTCTTTGTCATTAATCACATAATGATTAAATTTCATCACAATCATATCTCTAAACAAAATTTTTTACTTGTCAGTTTGAATATTCAAGAAACTCCCTTCCTCTTTCATTGATTTAGGTTCCATTGAAAGATACTATCTTTATTAACAAGAATCTAAAAGCTATTAGATTCAATAGTCGGTATTTTGCTAGTATCATAGGTTGTCATCCAAGAGATCGTACTTCTTGTGATCAAAGTGCTTTGCATCATTCACCAATGGAGTGGAAACAAAAGTCTTTGACATTTACAATGCATTCTTTTTGATGTGACCACTCTTTATACATCTCCAACAAGCCATAGTTTTTTTCTCAAAGTACTTACCCTAGATTTGGATAGCTTCCTCCTACCTTTAGACTGAAATCTTTTCCTCTTAGAGTCATGTATTGAGATCTTGTCATTTGAGTTTCAACATTCCGCGAATCGGGATTTGCAATGTTAGTCAATAGAATGAAAACTATGACTTTGACCATTACGATACAATCTATCTTGAAGTGACTAGTCTTGCCACATTCCCAACAAGCCACCTTCTCACTGTCAACAAATCTACTCCTTAACAAAGATATGTTCCTTGCTTGGGTCGTACTCCTAAACTTAGATCTCATAGTTTGAGATTCAACATTCCTCCCATTGTTACCAACCCTCCAGCGTGAATTATCATATATCACAATCAACGATGTACCAAAAGTAATCATGCTTTATTTTCACGGCAATTTTGTCATTGTGGTTTATTCGTTAGTTCTCAAAAAACTTCAAGATACTCTAACCTCGTTGAGATATTTCGGATGATATCCAATTTGTATATATTTTTGTTGAAGATTTTATTAGATAGAATATTTATGGACAAAATTTATTTTGGATGAAATACTCCTTAAGGACTAAATCTTCTAGACGATTGGAATATTTTGGCAGCTACCAGCGTCTACCCGTCGCGTGCTAGCGCTGTAGGATCCTACCGAGTCCTGCCCGCAACGTGCCTGCGCTGTATGCACTGCTTGCCGCATGCGCTGCTTGCCGCATGCGCGCTGCCAAATCTTTCCCATTGTGGCCGCCATCTGCACGAGCGCACCCAACTCATGCCCGAGACTGGACATATCCGATGTGCCTGCCCGAACGCACAATTCGGGGTAAAAAATATGTTTACAAATGCTGCACGATGAGCTGATAAGTACAACATGTAAGATAGTTTTTCTCAACACTTTTGTTACTACACAATGAATGTTTGAAGCTTTTTATACAATTGCACACTCCACTAACTGCAAGATGTATACCACAGATAAGACTAAATAAGAATAACGTTCTTTCCACGAGGTTATGATAGCTTATCCATGCGACATAATTGCATGAGTAACAAAGTAATTTGGGAATTATTTATCCACCTTACATGCTATACAACATACACTCGCCTAAGTCCGCATCCCGCCTAAATCCTCATTTTTCAGGGTTAAGAATCAAAATTCTCGAGATTTCTTATTAGCGGAAGTCAAACTTGTGATCATTAATGTTGAGGCTAAAAAGTTATTATAACTTTAAAGTAATATTTGCATGTATGAGGCAACATGGTGGTTTCTCTCGGGAGATTAACTCTCTCCCCCTTTTGGCCCTCAGGTTGGATCTTTTAATAAGTGCTTGTACCTGAGTCTACTGGTTTTCATTCTACTTCCTATCCCATGCGTCTCGAACCCAGTTTTATTCTTGATAACGCTTCACTCATACCAATCTCTATAAACTTACCAATATCTTAAATATATTGTCTCGGGTAATAACTATATTTGCATGAGTTCGGTGTAGACGGTGTCGAGAAAGAACAACACAAACTAATTGTAATAAGAATTGAGTGAAGAAGAAGAAGAAATCCTATTCCTTGACAATTGCAATACAAGGATTACAAGGAATGTCAATGTTAAGCTCCAAGCACAGGGTTTAATAGTTAAGCTCTAAGCATAGGGTTTAGTAGTTTTCTGGTATAAGTGAAGTGTGGTACGAAGTATCACTACGTCTGGAAAATCCTTGGGATGTTGTGGGAGACTTTCCTCGTTATTATGACCCTTTGACAAGAATTAACATAGTAATAGCGCGCGAAAGATTGAAATCATAAGATAAGACGAGATATTACAGAAGTACTCTCTATACTAAAATCCGCATCCCATATAAATCCGCACCAATCATAAAGTGAATGTATACCGTAACTCAAGCATGTCCGTAATAGAATAATTTTGCGAGACAATTAGCTTGCTTACAATTAGAAGCTACAATTACACATACAATTAATAGCTTACAATTAGCTTAGAATGTAGAAAATTAATGTTAGTTGATAAGTTAGTTAATCATAGTCCTGAGTTCCTGAATAGGCGGTCGCAGGACTCACCGCCTTTGGGCAAATGATGCGTCGAGTGGACTCGATGATATTGAACATCGACCTGCTCAGCCGGTCGTGATGTACGTCGGACACGGAGGTCCCGGACCGCAAGGGAGCTTGCGGTCCGGGACCTCCGTGTCCGACGTACATCACGAAGGAAGGAAGGAAACCGAAGGTGATGACGAGGGGATGACCGGGATGCAGGCCGGAGAAATCCAAGAATGAATAAGCAAAGAAATTCTGGTTCGTAGGGTTTTGGAGGGCTTACGCACTTCCCGCAAGCATTTGCTCGCGCAGAGAATACGAATTTGAAATTTCGCATGGTCAGAGGAGACGAGTGAAATTGCGCGTCGTTCGGATCGATGGGGGCGGATCAGCATCATGACGGGATGCTGCAGCGGCACGTGATGGCACTGATTGTTGGACATTTGCGGGACTTGAATCTCATGCAGGTCAATGTTCGACGTCTTTGCCATCCTTTCACGGTGATGTACATGGTGGGTTCGAGATTGGTAAGCTTGCAAGTGCTTATGGTTGTGGATTCTTGGTTTGCAGGCTGCCACAGCTGTAGCCAATGCCACCATGACGCCGCTTCAAACCGAGCTGCCGCCGAACAAGCTGTTTGACCTCGTGCGCAAGGTACAACCTTCTTGCAGTTTACTGGCCTGTCTGCTGCTTTGCCCGTTCTTTGTTTCGCAAGCTCGAACGCTACCTTACCAGTGAATTCAATAATAACCGGAGCGCCGCGATATGGAAATTCAGACCTTAGTATTTACGGGGATATAATTGAAAGTTATGTTTGACATAAGTGAGTGATTTTCGTACGGCGAACTGTTTTACCTTCAGTGGAGAATCGTCAGTTATGCTCTTTAATCGTGCAGAATTTTGAGGTCTTACTGTTATTAGTTGAGGTCTTGATAACTTGGATTGTATGTCTATGTCAAGTTTTTTCTTTCTGTAGAGGCGTTTTACGACATTTTACGCAAAATTATGCGTCACTGGTGCTAGAAAGTGGCTGCCGATTCCAGAATCGTCTACTTATTGTCCTTTAGATTGGGAAGAGAAGGACACATTATAATATCAAGGGGGACTTGAATGCTTACAAGATTTTGAAGATTTATCTGCTCTATAAGCACTCCTGAAATTTAATACTTGGACGCACACCTAGTCTATCAAAGTCCAGAACTTGGTTTATTATACGTGTACCAAGCGTATATGTTCATCTGAAACTTCGCACATAACATCGTTCTCTGTCCTTCTACTCGGTCTCTTGATTATTACGGAGCTTTACCATTGTACGTTTACTCTTCTGGAAATTCCGTTCATCCTGTCTTCTGATCTGATCATGAAATGATCAGCATTGCCTGTATTGTGTGAGAAGGACAGCTAATACTTTCCTGCACCTCCAAAGTTGAACTACGGGCTTTTTCCCTAGCTCACATCCATGCGGTACTCCCTCTGTAATAGAGACCCTCTTCAATAGTCCTCTTTCTCATAACTACTTCGCCGTAATTTTCTCTTTTTTACTTGTCTGTCTCTTGCTGCTAGCACCTCTTACACATAGCGCATGGTCTACGATCTCCACTCTATTACAGGATATTTTCGCATTCATTACAGTAACGATAATAGCAGGCGGAATGAAATCTTTCTCAATAGTTCAACTTTGGAAGCTGACAATAATTGCTCTGAGATTCGTATTCTTCGTTGCTCCTTCATATTTTCGTTGTATTTGGAAAATTGGGAAGTTGGCGAAAATCGCCAAATTACCAATGTAGAGTAGTAACTTTCGTGGACTGTCTGGGGCTGTGGTTCCAGGGCATGGCTGTAGAAAGAGAAGAGATTGCAAGAGGGCAAGCTCCAGCGCCAATATCAGATGGTGCCGGTGGTGGCGCAACCCTAGCTGGCTATGGGCCTCTTCCAACTCTGTCGACAACCTCTCTTGATTTTAGGTGACCGTTTTGCTTTCCGAAAGACACGTTATGCTGTCGAAATTATCTTGACGTTTAGATTGTGGGTTAAGGTCAAGCTTGTGCTAGAGTACAGCAGCGCAGAGCAACAACATGCTCGATACTAACTCCGCTTCCAAAGTTTACCCCAAGCTGCTTTGTAACAAATCAATCGTTGGGATCGTAGAGAAGTCTGATGGGAGAACAGCAGTGCAGTGCAGGAAACCAAAGGAAACACCGCCAGGTTCCCGAAACATGATTCGAGACATATCTCAGAGCACAAGGTACGGTATTTTCATTGAATAGGCCGCTGCGAATTGCATTTTCTTGCACTGTCAGTTCTGGAGTTCCGACGAGCACATGGGTCGTCGTCCAAGTGCTGCTCGTGAAATTTTTTTGAGCTTCTTCTTGGGTACATTGTTCCAAGCCAGTGGCAAATAGGCACCTTTGCCAGATATACTTGCACTGATGTATTAGCGTCTATTAGACTCATACGTTGGACTCTGCTGAATGTCAGAATGCTGCAAGATGTGCACGATTCAGTCCTGATGGACGGCTCGTAGCAACGGGAAGTGCAGATACTTCTATCAAACTTGTTGAGGTATGATTGCACCTCTCTGCTCCTTCGTTTGCACCGTAAGTCAAAATACTAAATTGTTTTGTGTACTTTACTTGTCTCTTGCAGCTATTAGCTGCTTGCATGATTGGACTTGAGCAAGAATAGTGATTGAACTCGGTCATTCTATTTTGTCATGTACTCCGTACTCGATCAAGTCCTACCATCAAACTTCTTGTAACCACGAACTTTCGGGCTCTCGCAACCCGCCCTTCCACTTCAGTAGTATTTACGTCTCCTCCCCGTTGCTTGAGTTTAGGTTGAAAAAGTTAGACAAATGATGACACCAGACGGAGTGTCAAGAGACACGCCTATTCGACCCGTCATCAGGACGTTTTATGACCACATTCAGGTACGACGCATGTATTTTTCAGTTAGCTTTTGCCTAGTGCTTGCAATCACTAGATAAGCACCAGGTCATGCTTTTGACAGATCTGTACGGAATTTAGTCTTCCAATATTATCTCATTCTGAGGTAAAAGATTTCGGTCTAATTGCAGCCAATAAACGACCTCGACTTTCACCCTCAGTCAGCTGTCCTGATCTCTGGTGCAAAAGATCGCACAATCAAGTAAGTACTGCACAACCTTTGGCAGCCTCCCGTCCGTCCCGTCTTGTGAAGTTTGATGACTTTATAGTTGAAGAAGAGGTTATATCGTGATTACTTATCATATCTTTGCTTGTGTCTAGGTTTTTTGACTTTGCAAAGTCAGCAGCGAGGCGAGCTTTTCGCGTAATCCAGGTAAAACTGAGGCAAACTTTTTTCTGTCCTCTTGCGAGCACCGCTTTTACCTTTAAGAGTTGATTTATATGAACTTACTGTTATCAAGCACCCAAAAAGTGGTCATCTTAAAGGATAACATTCTACACAACATGTACCAATTGCTAGAATTGTGAAATAAGACTTATTCGAAGGGACTCCAATTTATGTCTTCTGCCATCGCAGGATACTCATAATGTGCGTTCTGTAGCCTTTCATCCGTGTGGTGACTACTTACTTGCAGGTTCGTGAACATGCCGGGTTTGCTGTTTGTTGATATTCACTGCAGAGCTGGACCGAGACTTCAGATTAGACACTGACTTGAGAGAAGAAACAACATTGTTGACTAGATATACAAAATGATAGCCAGATTCCGGCCTTGATGGTTGTTAGGCCTTACACAATTACCAAAATGTTTTGAAATTCTTTACGATGGTCATGTCAAATGCCTGCGAAGACATAACATCTGGGATACACAGCAGTTGTTTATAACTGACAATACCAACTTAGGAGAGATAAACTATAATCAGTTCCTTATTCTCTTACTTTTGTTCTGTTACCGCTTATTCTGGGTGCTTTTTTCGTAGCCTCTGAAAAGAATAGTATACACGAAGGAACATATTGATGGTTGATGTTGTCATGGTATAATGCCGAGATAGTTCCTCCGTTGGAGAGTATAATTTCCAGTACAAGATAATTCAATCAGTGGTGGTTCCTATGGTCTAGAGATTTAAGAGATTCATTTAAAGCTTTGCCTATGAATTACAGGAACTGATCACCCGATAGCCCACTTGTACGACGTGAACACCTTTCAGTGCTACCTATCTTCCCAACTCCAGGATTCTCACGTCGGTGGCGCCATCAACCAGGTGCACCTCTTAATACTGTAGATCGGGCTACGAGTTAGCTGTCATGAAACGTGCTAAGTGACATGGGTTGCAAGCGTAGGGTAAATGGTATCATGCATATTTTTACCTCCTGCTGTGTGATTTGGGCCAAGCGATGAGCCCAAGGTTCTTATCGATCGCCCTTCACCTCATGCCATCTCCTTTCAAGCCTCATGTTTAATGCCGATCCTATCATCTTCGTTCCTTAGGTTCGATATTCATCCAATGGAGGAATGTACGTGTCAGCAAGCAAAGATGGTGGAGTAAGAATCTGGGATGGGGTTAGTGCACGTTGTGTGAGGGCGATAATTGGTGCCCATGGTTCTGCCGAAGCCACAAGTGCCTCGTTCTCAAAGGATCAACGGTAAATTCCACGTAATGCACATTACTTGTCATGGTAATGGTAAACAGGTTGTCCACAGGACTAGTGTGAAAACCACTGATGTATAGCGATAAATGGCCATGCGAGCAGAAGATTCTCTTCTGGCTGGTTGTCAAGAACGAATTTGTTCTGCTTTATCTATTTGTCATTATTATTCTATTATTATTTGTCATTATTTTCAGATTTATATATACCATGCTTTACCTTGGTGAACTCATCCCTCTGAAAAGCGTATTCGTGGGATTGTTTCCAAGTGTGAGACGTAATATTTACAGTACATTTCTCAGCTGTCCAGTTTATTTATCATAATTACACAAGTTGGATGCTTTTGTCATCAGCACTGAGGCATGGCTTGATTGGTCGGACTGATTCAGGTATGTGCTCTCATGTGGAAAGGACTCCACCGTTAGAATGTGGGAAGTTGCAACCGGACGCCAGGTTAAGCAGTATGTTGGAGCCAAGCATGCGCAGATGCGTTGTCAGGTTTGTTGGCTAATATTAATATACAGTCAAAAACTAATTGTTGTGAAAAGGATTCTGAAGCTTAGCATGCCATTGAGCTTTTGGTATGATATACTGTCGTACACAATTGAAGGCTGCTTATACTCGGGACGCGTTTTTTGCGGTTGTGGTTTTTTTTTAATCAAAAAAAGGGAAGTAAGCTCACTTATCGATCCTGGAGGGTGCAGGCTGTTTTCTCGCAGAAAGAAGAGTTCATACTTTGTGTTGATGAGGCCAACAATGAGGTTTGTCTGAGACCATCTTTGTGACAACAAAAGTTCTTTTCTCAAATGATGCTCTTCCGTGGCTCCCTGAACTCGCTTCTGCATTCTCGGGCGTGACTACGAATATTTGTAATTGAAGTTTCTCTGTCGTGATTAGGTGGTGGTTTGGGATGCACTTTCGGGCGACGTGGTTTCGCGCTTACCTTCAAACCATGCTGGGGCTCCGCGTTGGTTAGAGCACTCACCAAGCGAGGCCGCCTTTGTCACCTGTGGGACTGATCGCTCTGTCCGTTTTTGGAAGGAATCTTTTTGACACATTGTTCAATTTCTCCTGAAGTAGAACCAGTAATTAGCATACTCACTGTCGCTGTACAATTTTTTAGTTGTAGAAGCCAATTGATCTCTTGTACATAGCATTATACTATGAGCTCCTTAGGTCAGCAATCGCAGTTTGTAGTTTTCTGACCTAAGATAAGCACTTGAAACCGGGACTCTATTTGGATCTTCTAAATGCATCATGATTTCTAAAGCTCTCCGACGATTTGGGATTCACCGTTGATCTGACGAAGGACTCTCTGCATGATGCAGCAATTTTCCGACCCGTCAGAAGTTCAGTGTACTTTGAAATGTCCACACTGTCGTTAACGATAAATCATTATAATGACCAAACTTTGGAATTTCAGATCTCAAAGTCACAACCACAGCAGAAACCTCATGTTAAACGTTCTTTGTACCCAGTGTTCCAAAAATACTGAATTTCGTTCTGTGTACATGATTTGTTAAGTAGTTGTGTCTTTCGAAAAACAAAGGATGAGACTCGACACTCCTGACAGGCGGAAAGATCTGAGATGTGAGTTTGCCCAGGAGTTTCTATCGCATGAGCAATTTATGCTTTCGTTACATTCTGAAACTCTCATGACATAAACCTTTATCTTCCTAAGCTCGAATTACAATGTGGAAAAATCTTCGTCCACCCTCGTGAAGAAGTCTCGTGAATGTTTAGTCTTCTGCGTAAAACAGCGCGAATGCTAATCGAGTGGAATTTTGATCAGTGGGAACCAGCGTTATTCACACTGATAAGTGTGTGGAGATTGAGCCTGGCTAGAAACACCGATTCAGATTTGAAATAGGTTTTGAGTTTCGATGACCCATCCCAATTAAATCTTGCGGTCATTCTGTTCGTGAGAAGAGATCGTGAATCATCATGCGTCATCATGTGTGGATTCCTGGACACCATCATGGAATGGCGGTGCGTAATATTTGTTTTCTCTGTCCAGACTGGTACTATTGAGGATGATATTGAAACAAGAGGATTAAAAGACAGAGTGAATTCGGGTAAGGCGGAGTAGAGGCTGAGCTCGGTGTAGAGGGAGCAGAAATTTTCTTACATCGATTATAGATGGTGACCTTGAGAATGGATCGCAAGGAATCTGCGAAAGAATCACAAATCTTATCAAAGCATGTTCTCCGTGACTAACAAGACATATCATATTTTAAACTCGAGGCTATGACAACATAGAAGAGCATTTTGATTCCAGATGTCATGAAATTCTGTAGATACGTGTCAATATGAAGGTGTGTTGAAAGTTACTGCTAAGAGAGCTTAAAAGCAATATCTTAGTTCCTTTTGCTTGCATTAAGAAGTTTGAATCCGATTTAAAAGTTGCAGGAAGTTGAGTTCAAATGTCATCTCATTCGGTAAAGATTATTGCAGTATCCATGCATTCAAAGCTTTTAATTAGATATGAACACAAGTGACTAAGTTTGATTGATGTCACTTTCAATCTTTGTATATTATGATTCATGTTCAAAGATACATTTGTCACAGATTGAAAAGTTAAAATTTTCTTGAAGAGCGGTATGTATATTTATTAAACTGAAAAATTCTATCATTCAAAGAAGAATGAAATCTACATATTTTCTGGATGGTTTTTAGGATGAAAAAAAGAAGAAATGTATACTTAACACATGTAATAAAATAATTTGGATAATAAAATTTTGTTCAATAATGATACAAGGATAGTAAGATTTTTATCTGCATACTTTTAAGAAGAATATCCGACGCAGATATAATATAAAATATTATGTATACTCATGCTTATCTTAAAAAAGTTTATTGATTTATATTTTATATTTAATATTGATGATATTTTTATGTTTGACGTTATAAAGAAACGTTATTTGATGTGTGTATTCAATCAATCAACGAAATTATAAATATATTATGCAAACATCAATCACTTTTCCTAATTGTGGCAATGTTGAAAAATAACGATAAATTTCTAAGATGTATTCCAAAATGTGAAAAGAAATTATTTTATTTCATTGATTGTGGTAATGACAATAGAAAAATGACAAAAATTTTATCAGTAAAATATGTAGCATGATATTGTATTGGTTTAAGGTGATACTATTCTTCTGTGAATCATGCTAAAGAATATAATTATTGCAACAATATCAATCTATGCTCGATAAAAATTAAGATAAAATTTATAAAAATATAGTTAGCAATGAAAGAAATAATGATTTGACTTACTCAAGATATCATATCATTAATGCATCTGCTCATTAAGTTTATTCTCTAATATATTTGACAGTGTTTAATTTAATCAACATGTCATAACTATGTGAAACACTGTGATTAGAATGTGAAATCATATACCAAACATGTTGAAACTTCATCACATTCACATTTCGAACGGTTGAAAACCTGAAGAGAGATGCAGAATAATGGAATTGAATTGAATTATATATATTGGCTCAGAGCGATATCAACCTTGATGTTGTTTATACATTTTGATTGTCTGTTATCTAAGATTAACCTATCGAATATTAGATTGAATATTATCATCCACCAACGTTGATTACATGATCAATTTGTGTAGAGATTATAAGTGAACTAATAAAAGATATGGAAATGTTGAAGTAAACTCTTGTTAAAAGAGCAACCTCGGTCCTAGCTAGGAAAAGTCCCGAGATTGTAGACTATATATTCACTTTTGGACCATTTGCACTGTACTCTCCCGTATGAGGTTTCTCTTCTAGCCCTCAGAAGTGTGAACCACTTTACATGTTGCGTCAACTCATGTTTGCTCTTGTTGTGATTTACTGTCACTTAGGGAATACTTTTGAATCACAACGTTGTAATTTAATCAACTTGCTCTGCTATGATTCATATCTTGAGAGATTTGAAAGCATAGAGTTTTTTATTACTCTGGATTGAAATTCTAAACTGAAAAAATTGAGAGATATTTTCTAAAGAGAGTTAAGGAAAACTATTTTACAATGTGCTACAAAATAACAAGTTAGGTTGCACAAGAATTATAAACTAGAGAATAAGATGGATAAAACATCTGATATCTATGTATATAGATCTTCCCAGACTCTTTTACATCACGCTAAATAATTACTCCGTCAGGGCCAAAAAGTCTGAAAACTGAATGATAACATATAAAAAGGTTACTTCAAAACCCGAAATCTCAAAATTGCGAAGTTCACTCAGAAAAAACATCATTGCATTAAAATTTCTATGGATCTCTAATAGGCATGCACTAACTCATTCATTTCCACAAAAGAATGCAAATATTGAGTTATGGACCCAGCCATAAATTATATATTTTTGGAGCCCTGCATTCCGAAAATGCTGTAGGTGCCAATGACTCTGTTCTAGGCTCGTCGAATTTGGGCTCTGCTACAATAGTGAAGCAATCATTGGAATCAGAGGGAGGCGAGTGCACAGTGGCGGAGGCAGTCCTTCCCTTCGCAGCCAGAAGAAGAAGAAATTGTGAAATGTCTCGAAGGAAGTGAATGCAAAATTGCCGACGAGGAGGGGAGGGGAGGCAGTCTGAGTAGCGCCGTGGCATCCGAGGAAGGAATTTCTGCGTCTCGTCTCGTCTCGTCTGAGCTTCGCCGATTAGATCGATCCGGGCTGGGGGCAGATTGGGACGAGGAAGATGTTGGTGATTGGTTGGAAATCGGACTCCTGCACCACCATCTAACGTTTGGCCTCACCGGAAGAGACTGCACTCGAGGGAAGGAAATATCAATTGAATTGACGCGGTTGATCTTCGTGAGTGCTGCGCAGTTCACCCAAGGCCAGAAGTGCAGCGTTTATCGGCATCCACTCGGAGTAGGGATTGATCGGCAGAGAAAATGGTAGGAGATAATAAGTATGAAATTTCCCAAAGAGCGTATATAAAGATCGTGTTACATGCTCTGAAGCATCAGTGTAACTCTGTCAATGGAGTTCTCGTTGGCAAGGTCACTGGAGCCGGCAATGAAGCGAGTGAAGAAGGCAATTCGAAGATCGAAATCGTTGACGCCGTGCCTCTGTTTCACGCACAGCTTGGTGTGCTGCCAATGCTGGAGCTTGCTCTTAGTCAGGTATGTTCCCTTTTCTTTCCTCTTGCATATCCTGTGTTGAAGTCAAGTTTTCTGGAACGTCCAATCAATGATAGGCAATTCTCGATTCGAAGCAATCGTTGATTATTAGAAGCTGCGCTTTACACATCCTTGAATCTTCATTCCTCCTCTTGCTTAGGAAAGATGTGATGACTCTCAGACACGTCTAGACGAAATCCGGATCCAGAGCTAATAGTTAGACATTGTGTGCAACAAAGAACTGACTCTTACTTTATTTCAAAAAAACTCCTTGAGGGTACAGGAAGAGGGAAGAATAAAGCAAGGCTAGGGTTCAAAAGAGGAAGACCTGTGCAGAGCTCTTGGTAGTGCGTGAGACTCTGCATGTACGAGTTTGGTCATGTTGGAAGTCCGTTAGCTTCATTGTAAAATAGACAGGTTTTACTTATTCTCAAGGGGAAGAGTATGGATACAAGGTCTTACTGACAAGCAGGATTGAATGGAATAGGAAGGTTTCATTTACGACGGTTTCTTTTATGTATTATTCAAGACACAGGTGAATTTTTGAACCGATGGTACAGCCAGGGCGTATAAGCAGTGGGTGTTCGCTGGTCTCTACTATTTGTTAAAAAAGTACGTCAAAACTTCAAGAGTTCGTCACTTGTGAGATTTACGAGTCTGTCTGCTGAAATGCAGGTGGAAGAGCATCTAATCGCCGATAAAGAGAGCTTAGTGATTGCTGGGTACTATCATGCAAACGAACGGTTTGACGACTATGAATTAAGCCCACTGGCACGCAAAATTGGTGACCACATCGCTCGTTATTGTCCCCAAGCTGGCGTACTATTGGTAAAGACTTCGCTGTTCTACCGTGTCTACTTTTTTGTTTGCGTTCTTATGGAGCCACAGATGTATGAATCCAGCTCCATTAAAATCCTCTGAAATATCACAACTATCTCACTTGTACTAGTTCTTCCGATCTTGTTCACCTAGCTCAACAACTGACTTACAACTCACACATCATAGTAGCTGGGTTTGAACCTTCTATACTTCATTATTCTCCTCTGTTATGCTGTATTTCCTTGGACGAATTAGTCAAATTTGGAAAGGTAGAGAAGCACCATCTGCATCACCCACTTGCCAAGATAATGCAGCTTCTAGTGCCCCATAATTTTCGAGAACAGACGTTTTTTCTTCTTATGAGTGCTGTGTATTTTTTTTGGTTATGGAAGTATTGAGCACGTCCTTACATCTTTTTGATGTCTCGAATGTACAGCTTGACAACAGGCTACTCAGCTCTTTAGGCAAAGGAGGCAACAAGAAACCTGTCGTCCAGGTAAGTGTTGAAGGACCTTTTTTGTGATTTAACTCCAGCCACAACAATAATATATGCTTTATTGTAGAATTGCGTTTGTCTCGTATCTGGAAATAATAAGGATGACTTAGATTAAGCATTTCTTGTTTGTTACAGTTGTATACGCGAGACTCAGTCCGAGGATGGCGACTGGGGGTTGATCTATCGTTGAAAGAACCCACCGCTAACAGTATACTGAGCGACTACATCTCTGAAAAAAGAGAACAACTGCTCTTCGATTTTGATGACCACTTGTATGATATCAGCAAGTAAGTAACGAAAGTCGAACCGTATCTAACACTGCTCAGAACTGGGGCCAACATTCAATAGATTCAACTTATTGACTCTTCTTTGGAGTTTTGGCGCTGACGCATGAGCTTGATGGGAAATTCCCTCCCAAGGATTATCCTTTCATGTCTTTCTTTTTTAATTTCATCTGATGTACATCTGCTACATTCTGCTTTAGAACACGCATGGTAATGGAAATTTGTTTAAGTTCTTGCGTTTCTGTAACTAACACTCAGTACCTCGGCTGTTCATCGTGCAGAGATTGGTTAAATCCTGACCTCTATAATTAAGTTGTTCACTGTCGAGGCAGTGGATTTTATGTTGTAAGTTTACTACTCCCGTGCCTATGGTGTTGAGTTGCGGGCAGAAATAGTCGCAAAGTGTATCATCATGAGTATTCTCGATATCGTATAATATATTAGTATATTTATAACGATATGAACTCTGCTGAATTGTGTATTTTGAGTCTCTGATATTTGAACCCTTTTGCCCCTGTTTATAGTTGCTGTCACATCATATCTCCGGGTCCTGCGCCAGAAAGCTGGGAACTCATCAATCAATACTCCGTGGAGAAAGTGACCAATATCCGTATGCTCCTCAGTTTCATCAAGAGAATGACGTGTTACTGATTTAAAATGTCTCTCACTTGAGATATTCTATAGAGGACGGAGGATGCCCGAGGTCTACGTTTTTACGCTGGTGCAAAATGCTGAAACTATCTGTATGAAGTTTCATTATATCTGTAATTTAAGGATGAAATTATCATGCGCAAGAAGCAGCGCAATCAAGAGAAACTTCGAGGATCTTTTGCACTGGTGCAGAGCCATCTATCCGTCTTCCGTGGCCATGTAGTATACACTTTGGTGTGGCGGGTTATCGCAAGTATTTACGGAAAATGAGGTCCATATAGCCACCTTGTCATGACTACTTTTCATCTTCTCAAGTGCTTGCCAGGTGATCAAAATTAGAGTAGTTTTCGGATTCTTCAATCTCATCACAAGAGCCTTGATGAAGTATTTTTGTCAACGAAAGAAACCTTGTTTCTATAAGATGCCAGCTAACAATGTTACATAATCACTAGTTCAACTCAATCTGATCGAGAACCCGTCTGATCACCACTCAACGAATATGTCTAGCCATCAAAATACTCTTCTGGAGGATTTTCAGCTCGACCTGAAGACCCACCATAATCTACAAGCACTGATCTTTGACCGTAACTTTGGAAGCGTTGTGAAACACAAAGACGAGATTAGTATGAGTCTTGATTGACTGAACGAGTCTACTTAACGCCTACAACTTATTGCAACTTCCGCAGTTCAGTAATGCCTAACCATTCGAGTACTATACGAAAGCACGTATGTCACGGTCGACCATGAAGACGAACAGAAAGCTTTAATCAGCTCTTCGTCATGGACAAGGAGTAAGATTTCTTAGAAACGAAGATAGGATTTGATCAGAGATCTTGTTGGACGTGTCCGATTCACTGAACAGCTCCAATAACATAAACCCTTTGTCTTCAATCATCAAGAAAAGCTCTCCATCAACTTCAATTTTATTTTTGTAGTTAGGAGGGAAGATTAGGTTCTTGCAGACGCTGCTAGTCAAGCATTTTCAATGACAATTCTTGTGAACGGCTCGCATCGGCAACAAGGCCTTGATTGACCTTGGTGACTTGAACTGATCAAGCAAGATAATGAGCATTCAAGCGTTGTAATCTACAATCATCTTAACCACTAGTCTGTTTAATCACAAGACAAAATGACTCCCGATTGAATGGAACACGCTACTACCTTCGAATTAGGAAAGCGGCACTCATATCAATACTTCAATATTCATAAAAAACAAAGAAAAATTTGAGACTTTAATCGAAGACATGTTCTAGATTGTTATTACTGAATTTTTCTCTTACAAAAGTTCAGTGGTTTTCATCATCCCATCATTTTGTGAGTAGATATAAGAAAATAGTTACAACGTCATACTTCATTTCCATCCATTTGAGTCATAAAAAATCAAATGATATACCAGTTTCATGTAGTCAAGGTTTTTAAATTTATTTGTGGAAAAAATATGAAAAAATAAAGATTATTCCCTAATCTCATTTTCATATAGAAATAATGATTTTGCAAAATCTTTGAAAAAAAAAATCATTATATAATTATAAGTGTAATCGTTAAAACTCAGAATCAGTCACACTGACACCAGAGACACGAGAGTATAACGTGGTTCACCCTCAAGGGCTACGATCATGGGGAGAGTAGCACTAGAGAGTTTACTATTGAATGCTTGAAATGAAATTCTTCTTATCACCCTCAGTGTATATATACCCAAGGTAGTCAACCACTCTAAGCTCTAAATAGCTATATATGCGGTTAACCAAGGTTAACTAACCTCAGTTAACTCTTAATCTCGTTAACTCATTAACCAAAGTTAACTTCAACAATTTCCCCTTTAACTCGCATTAAGGAGTTTCATTAACCTCTCTAACCTATATTATTACTTAGCGGAAAGTTCTAGATAGAATCCTGACTGAAGTTCCCTCTTTAAACGAGAGTTAACTAGAACTAAGCCGTAGTCATTATAGGATAGAGTAATAATATATAAAGATAACTCAACAATCTCACCTTAACTCATGTCAAGGAATTTCAGTCAACTCTCTAATCTATATTGTTACTCTCATACAAAGATAGAGTAATAATATACAGAGATAACTCAACAATCTCACGTTAACTCATGTCAAGGAATTTCAGTCACCTCTCTAACCTATATTATTACTTTCATACCAAGATAGAGTTATAATGTATAGAGGTAACTCAACAATCTCACCTTAACTCATGTCAAGGAATTTTAGTCACCTCTCTAACTTATATTATTACTTTCATACCAAGATAGAGTTATAATGTATAGAGGTAACTCAACAATCTCACCTTAACTCATGTCAAGGAATTTTAGTCACCTCTCTAACTTATATTATTACTTTCATACCAAGATAGAGTTATAATGTATAGAGGTAACTCAACAATCTCACCTTAACTCATGTCAAGGAATTTCAGTCACCTCTCTAACTTATATTATTACTTTCATACCAAGATAGAGTTATAATGTATAGAGGTAACTCAACAATCTCACCTTAACTCATGTCAAGGAATTTCAGTCACCTCTCTAACTTATATTATTACTTTCATACCAAGATAGAGTTATAATGTATAGAGGTAACTCAACAATCTCACCTTAACTCATGTCAAGGAATTTCAGTCACCTCTCTAACCTATATTATTACTTTCATACCAAGATAGAGTTATAATGTATAGAGGTAACTCAACAATCTCACCTTAACTCATGTCAAGGAATTTCAATCACCTCTCTAACCTCTATTATTACTCTGCGGGAAGTTCTAGACAGAAACCTATCACAAGGTCCCTCTTTAAACGAGAGTTAACTAAAACTAAGCCGAATCCATAAGAGTATAGAGTAACAATATACGGAGGTAATTAAGAACCATATCTCTCGTGCTCCCTATGCACAACTTGCATAGTAGCACAGTGTCGCTTGAAACTCTCCAAAGGAGTAACTTTGGTCAACGCATCAGCTGGATTGAGTTTACTGTCAATATTGACTAGCTCAATTGTTTTATCAGACACTGCTTGTCTAATAAAGTGATACCTGATGTGGATGTGCTTTGCTATGCTATCCATGACTTGGTTCGCAGCCAAATGTAAAGCACTCTGGCTATCACAATGAAGATTGACCACGCCTTGTGTTAATCCCATCTCCATGATAAGCTTACCAACCAAATAGTTTCCTTTGCCGCTTCTGCTGCTGCCACGTACTCAGCTTCTGTTGTTGACTGAGCTACGCACTTCTGCAAGGTAGATCTCCAACTAATGCTTCCGCCGCCAAGTGTAAACACATATCCGGTTGTAGATCTCCTCTTATCTAAATCTAGTCCGTAATCAGCATCAACGTAGCCAAACAAGGACTTGGCATTGTCTAATAAGCCATCAAACAATAAGCCATAATCCATAATATTCTTCAGATATATCAGAATCCATTTCACTGCTTCCCAGTGAACTTTTCATGGATTCGACATGTACCTGCTCACCTTCCTCATTGCTAGAGCAATATCAGGCCTAGTGCACACCATTAAATACATGAGGCTGCATACAGCTTGTTCATATGGAACACATGACATTCTTCCCAGTCTTCCCTTTTCCACAGCATCTGTAGGACCTTGAGCTGCGGAGAGTTTAAAATGTGCCGGCAGAGGAGTACATACTCCTTTTGAATTGGCCATGTTGAACCTGTCAAGTATACGTTGAACATACTTGCCTTGACTCAACCATAGCTTCTTCTGTTCAAAATCTCTATAAATATCCATGCATAGTACCCTTCTTGACTCCTTCATATCTTTCATCTTAAATGCAGACTTCAGCTGGCTCTTGCATTCATTGACATCGGATTGGTTTTTTGCCAAGATAAGCATGTCGTCAACGTAGAGTACTAAAATGATGAGATTGAAAGATTCATCATTCATCTTCTTCATATAGACACAAGGATCATACACACTTCGTAGAAAACATTGTGCTTTCATAAACTCATCAAAACATGTATTTCACTGCTTAGGAGCTTGCTTCAATCCATACAATGATTTCAATAATCTACATATCCACCTCTCCTGGCCTTTGACCTCAAAGCCAATTGGTTGTCTCATGTAGATCTCCTACTCTAAATATCCATAAAAAAAAGTTGTAACCACATCCATATGATCCATAACAAGACTGAATGTTGCGACCAGTGCACATACTAGACGAATTGTAGCGTATTTTGCTACAAGCAAAAAAACTTTGTTATAATCCACACCCTTTTCCTATGTGAAACCTCTAGTCACCAATCTAGCTTTGAAGATTCTTGCTTCATGTACTGCTGGATTCTCTTTCAGCTTGTACACTCACTTGAAGTCAATCACTATCTGATTTTGAGTAAGCTCAACCAACTCCCAAGTCTTGTTGTCAATCAGTGACTGCATCTTCCGCTCCATAGCAACATTCCATTCAAGCTTGTTGACTGAAGCTTGAGCTTCTCTGTATGAAGAGGGTTCACCTTCTTCCAAAATCAACGCCATACCATCCTTATCTTCAAAATCAAGGTCATGATCTTTGAGAATGGATGAGTTGGCTCATACACTAAATCTCTCAGGAGCTCTACTAGATCGTTGTGATCTCCTAGTAGACGTTTCCGTTTGATCTCTCTTGTCTGGTATTGTTGCAATAGGCTTACCAACAATAGCTTGCTCCTGTACTTCTTGTTCCTCAAGAACTTGCTTCACATGTCTCAGTGCTTCTTCATGTGACATATCATTAGTGATAGAATGATCAACCTGCCCCACAACAATATCCGCGAGTAAAGATTTCTCCTTGTTAGCATCCACATTCTCTCCCTCTTTCAATAAGCCAGGCTCATTGAAAGAAACATCTCTACTAACAACCACCTTCTGGTAACTGGATCCCATAGTCTCTAACCTTTCACGCCGCTAGCATATCCAAGAAAACGACATTTCTTTGATGTGAGATCTAATTTTGTACTCTGCTCCTTTAGTTATAAGAGGATAAACAATACAATCAAAAATTTTCAAGCAACTATAATCTGCTATCCGTTTATGTCTCAGTTCAAACGGTGTTGAGAAATTGATTGCACTAGAAGGAGAAAATTTTACCAAATAAATTGCGGTGTTGACAGCTTCGGCCCAAAATTTCCCTGGTAAACTGGATTTGCTTAGCATACTCCGCACCTTCTCCAAGACTATTCGATTGAGTCGTTCAGAATCAACAATTTGTTGTGGAGTATAAACCGTCGTGAAATTACGAGTAATTCACTCCTCTGTACAATACCTCTGAAATTCTTCACTAGTATACTCGCCACCATTGTCTGATCGCAAATATTTCACTTTGGGTCGAGGGTGAGTCTCAACTTGTATGCGCCAACTTTTGAAGGTTGAAAACACCTCAAACTTGTGGGTCGAAAATATACCCACACATATCTGGACTAATCATCTATAAAAGAGACATAGTACAACTTTCCAGACAGTGAGGCAACAGGAGAGGGTACCCACACGTCACTATGTACATACTCCAATATCTCCTTGGAACTATGAGTTTCAACACCAAAAATTTTCCTATGTTGTTTTTCCATGATGCAATGTTTGCAAAATGACACGTCAACTTTACCCAAACCGGGTAATACCTTTTTTTCATCAAGAAGAGACATGTATCAATCACTCATATGGCATAATCTGGAATGCCATACATGGGACATCTCAACGCAAGATCTGGTAAAGTGAACTTCGCCACAAATAGTGATGCACTCTAACAAGTGTAGATTATTATGCTTGTATCCTCGAAAAATAACCTTCTTATCACATGATCTGACATCTAACGCGCCCTACCTTGAACTCCATTCTAAGCCGTGTGAGTCCAACACTCCAAGAGAGTTCAAGTTCTTTCTCATGTTAGGTATAAATCTAACATGGATTAACGTACCGTTGACACCATCAAACATGCGGATCTTTACAGATCCAACACCCTCAATTCTACAAGGTTGGTCGTTCCCCATAAGAACTTAATCGTTTGATACGGAGAAAGTACAAAAGAACTCTCTAATGTAACAAATGTGATAAGAACAAGCACTGTCCAAAATTCATACATCACCAACAACTTGTGATGAATTGCAGAGTACATACCTCTGGCATCATAGGCCATCCGTGTACAAATCGTTCGTCTCAGTATCAAGATGTTTAGCAACGTTTGCCACTGAAGAGAAGCTTGTACTTGTCATCCGGAAAACTGTCAACATACCGTAATAACATACCAATTGTAATCGTTAAAACTCAAAATCAGTTACACCGACACCAGAGACTCGAGAGTATAACGTGGTTCACCCTCAAGGGCTACGTCCACGGAATGAAGAGCACTAGAGAGTTTACTACTTGAATGGTTGAAGTGAAGTTCTTCTTATCACCCTCAGGGTATATATACCCAAGGTAGTCAACCGATCTAAGCTATAAATAGCTACATATGCGGTTAACCAAGGTTAACTAACCTAAGTTAACTCTTAATCTCAGTTAACTCCTTAACCAGAGTTAACCTCAACAATAAGATGGTAAATTCACAATAAAATTTAGCGAATCTGTCTAAATTTTTTAACTGTTGACATCATAATTTCTAAATTTATTATACCAAATATCATGATGACATAAGTCATTACATTTTTATGCCCATGACATCATGATATATCAATATTTTGCATCCTAGGTGTAATTCTTTCTAATTAAGCTATATATCACATATATGCTAACTTCATAAATATATGGATATCTTGACAATTGTAGATCTAATAGTTTTTGAAATCTGTACGTGATGATGCAAAAAGAACTTGAGGTTAGAAACGATCGACTGAAAGATTTGCACTTAGCAATAAATCTTTGTTCTTGGTTTAGCACAATCGGTTTTTTATTTTAACATTTGTCGGTTTGCATACATCCTCCGGTATGGATGTAAGTATTGTTTTGTGATCATAGTTATATGATTCTAGCTGCTCTTCAAAGATCATCTGGTTTTTTTAAAAAGAATCCAGCTAGGTTTGCAGATTCTAATCTGTCAATTCATTTCAAAATTATAAATAAAAGTCCCTTAGAAAATTCACCCAAACTCTAAATATTGTCGATGTGAGGACACATAAAATGCCAGGAAGGTTTTTCAACACAGAATAGTCCAATATGGTGGCGTGTGATCTCATAAACAAGCTAGTGTGGTAGTTGTTTCCATTTCTTCCATGATGATTATGTCCACGTTTAACTAGAATGGATTATTTAAATATAAAAACTTGCCACTTGAAAAATATGGTACAATACTATGCTAAATTGCAAATAAATTAGTCTGGTCGCATATGAAAGTAGTTGGGTTCTTTCTACGATACTTCTAACTTTGCTCGATTATGTTACTATATCATGCTAGAAGCAAGAGAATATATTTTTCAAGAGAAGAAGAGATTTCACTTGGCTTTCGTTATTACTCTATCTATGACTAGTACTATTACTGATGAGTACACTCCTTCTACCTTGTGTTTAACATGCATCCATGAGAGATTATAACTCATTAAAGCTTTTGTGGTATGTCTAAGACAAGCCGTTCTGTCTACACACATTTGCTTTTGCTCAATATTCATGAAAAAAATCCACATGTATGTTCAAGGCCTTGTCACGGATTTTGATATAACTTGACGATTTTTGTAGTGATTTTTATTTTTGGGATCTAGATATTTCAAATAAATAAATATATTAATTATTGAGGTTAATTTTGGTGGAGGAGTAACATCATTTTGTAGCTATGTTTAGCTAGGTTATATATATATATATATATATATATAACACCCAAGGTTTCTGCACTGTATTACTGTTGTGTTTCACTACTGTTGTAAATTCTCTCTCGCGTGTTTTTGCCTCCTAGCACTCTGACGGGTGAACCATGTTATAGGGTTTAGGGTTAGTATTTGTGTTTGTTTATTTGCATGTTTGTCTTTCACTCTTGCATATTTTGGACTGAAAAATTAACTATTTCACTCATTCTTTACTACGAAACACATGATTTGCTAATATAGCAACTCTAGATTATTCATTATAAATTAACATAATCTCCAGCTTGATTAATTTTTACTTGAATTCTGACTATTCAAAGATAGTTAGAGTAAATCATGCTTATGATATAAATTGAACATGATAAAAATCCCATTTGAAGTCATTTGTATCATAAAATAATCTTTATTTTAATTCTAACTAATGATATTTATACTGCGGAAACACTTGTGATCATGACTTGTATCATGTTGTATCAAAAACACATATTTCGCGAATGGTTTCTGAGAAAACAGTTGGAGTATCAGTTACTATCGTTTGGATGCATTTGATGTGTCCGATTAATTTTAGACATTACAGGTCTAAGAAGGTCCAAGCGACAAACCAACCTCCAGACCATTTGAACACAAATATCAATATAAAACTATTACTTTGCTTTATCTCTTGAAAAATAAATTGTTCTCTTTAACTGCCCACGAGTGGAAGCTGTCATTTTCTCCGGTTCTGCACAGGGTTCTGTCCCAGGTTTGTAGAGGAAGCGGACTATTACAGGACCAGACAATTCTGATCTCAAGTGATTGGTCATTCACTCGGTCTGTTGAAGCAAAGGAGATCTTTCGCTGTCAGGAGTTGCTTGATGGGACTGATGAGAATGCGCAGGCTTCCGTGTTACTAAATCAGTTAGAGAAAAAGAGAAGCAGACGCAATCAAAACCTGTAAAACGGACTCCGTGTGAGCAAGCTTCTCTGTGGATTATTGATGAACAGTGGGATACCAGAATCCGCAGTTTTGTGTCCTTCTAGAACGAACGCAAGACCATAATATTTCATTGCCATCTCAATAATTTCACAACATGACCTCGTGAGAGGTAATAAAGTCCTCACGTGATGACGATGTAGCTAGAAGATATGAGAAAGAATAGACGATTCAAAGGATACGTAGGCGCATGCAAATCACATCTCAGGGGAAAATGAGAATCTAGAAACGACGTACAAAAGCACCACTTAGATACAGCCCTCACATTGTCTTCAACAGCAGCAAAAGAAGGATTAAAAACAAAGGAATAATGTAACCATAAACTTGGAAAGAATAGAAGCTGTAAACATGGGGGTATCACTTCGATTTGCAGTGGATTCGATATGAACCCTTACAGCAACAGCGCACGCTCTGGACTGAACTAACAATGCTTGCGTAAGAGAAGAAATCTCAACAACCGTAAAGTGGTGAGCGTAAACGCTTATGTAACTCGGCGTGCATCAGCCTGATGAGACGTGATCATATGTCAGCAGACGCAAGAGGTCGTTGCTGATCTTCAAGGAGTTCTTTCAAGAACATAATGGACTGTACAAACTTAACTACCTGTTTTATACATATTATAAACAGCAGGTAACAACGAATGAGAAGGAATGCTTGCTGCTATTGAGCAACATCCAACATTCCTTCCATCATCTGTACATGTTAACACCTAGAAGGCACGAACAATATGATCAATCTCACTTTAGCTACCGAAGTTTATTCCTTGTGCAAGGGGTAATGTCTGGCCATAGTTGATAGTACTGCAACCACCGAAGATTAATGACAGGATGTCAGGCTCGATACTTCGGTACACTCACTGACGTAAGAGTGGCTAGATACAAGAGTTCATTCCGTTGCCTTACATCACGTAAGAACGTCCCTGGACTAACTACTTACAATACGGCTAAACAAACATTATCCAATCCATATGCAAAGTTACAACAAACCATTTTCTACGTCACTCACCAAGTCGATCTCCGCATGTACTGTTTCCATGAGTCACTACCAGCCTCTCGACCACCACCGGTGGCCTTTTCACCACCAAATGCACCCCCAATCTCCGCACCATTGGTAGGAATGTTAACATTTGCTATACCACAATCACTACCAAGAGGACTACGGCGACATGAAAATCCAGGGATCAGAATCGTCAGCAACGAGATTTCCGCATATAAGGCGTTAATTCTTACATACATGAAGTGTTTTATGAAAGGCTTTACTAAAATATAGCACAACTGCAAATTAAAAGAAGAAACGTCTCCAACAACAGCACGATATGTCTGAAAGTACATACCCAGTCCATCTAAATATAAGCTCCGGATTTTTCGTGAAAATGGAGCTGCTAAGTCCCTGAGGGACAGAATTGTTCATGTCCACGGCTTGTTCAAATGTCTGTTAGATACAACAGTGCACATAAAAATCAGCATGAAATTGTGTGGTAATTTAACAAGACACGACATTCTGTACTATTTGTTGACCTCTAGTCAAAGATGGCCTTCACGTCGAATAGATCCAAGTTGATTACGGATTGGGGTACCACGTTACCTTGAACTTAATGACGTATAAAATAGGACAAAAGAGTTCCTCTTGTACAATGGGAGCGTCATGTGATATTTCCACGATCGTGGGTTGGACATAATTGCCTTCCCTCTCCATCACTTTTCCACCTGTCAGAATCACACCTTTCTGAAACATACGAGTAATGTCATATTATATAAAATGACCAAACGAACTTAGAGAAACAATTGAATGGGAACCTAGGAATTTCCTTCTATTCTATTCTGGAGATCAAATACTCACTGAAACTTTTGTAGAATGTTACCCAAAGAATGAAGCAGACATCACACCTGCTCTTTAATTTTCTCAATGCCTTCTTTGTAAGCAATGACACCTGCGGCTGTATGCAGCGGGCCAAGTAGGGTGCCTTCGACAAGTGGATCACCAGCTTTGACCTGAGAGTATGCTTTCAACAACTTGTCTAGAGTTTCTTTGTAAACGCTTTCGTGAAGGAACTGTCGAAACCAAAGGACGTAGAGAATACCATAGATCAGAATCTTGAAGTGCTCAGATATGGCCTACATCGCGCATGTGAGAAGACAATCTTTTTGAGGCGTAGATACCACACAAGAAGACATGGAAATCCAGAGTAACCTCAGTAAACAAAGGTGTCGGAACAAATTTGGAGAAAAATGATGAGACTGAAAGCCGATAACAAAGTGCGTGTAGGCTGACAGCAATCCAAAGTTCTTACAGAGCTGTTAATCTACCTGACCATCTTGCCCGCCCGCAGATTCTAAGAAGTGAAAAATAAAGCTCTACCTTCCAAACATATATCGCAAGCTCCGACGAAAAAATCACATTCACGAGAGAAAATAAATAGACCTGTTCCGTCTGATTAAAAATTCTGTCTATCAATACTTTATCCACATATCACAATCTAAACTTTAAATAAAGATCGAAAGAGTCCTCACCAGACGACGGCAGGTAGTGCATCTTTGGCCTGCTGTGCCAACGGAAGCAAACAGAACAGAACGGACAACCATTGATATATCAGCGTCATCCATCACAATTATCGCATTGTTTCCACTTAGCTCCAGCAGACACTTGCCAAAACGAGCATTAACAGCTGCCTGCACCAACTGCCCTACCTGCATGAAAAAAAGTTTTATCAATTTTTGTTAAAATCACCTTCATTTTGAGGATGACCTAAAATAGGATAATCTTGAGCAGTCTCTACAATAATCAAGGGAAGTGATGAATCAAAGAAAAAAAAAAGCCACAGGAAGGATGACTTGTGGCTTGACCAAAAATCTCAGGAAATGACGATCTCTTTGCATTCTAATATACAAGCTCCACCAACGCTTTGATGTTCTGCTAGTGTGAGCATGATCACTTGTCTCTAGAAGCATGGCGTCTCTTGGTCGGCTCACCTTCGAACTACCCGTAAATGAAACAAGATGGATTCTCCGATCATGTGAGATTTTCTCCCCAATTTCAGCTCCTCCGCACAGGCCTGTGAAGATAGCTCCGGGAAGTCCATTCTTCTCCAAAACTTGTGCAATGAGTCTCGTAACGGCTATTGTGATAAGAGGTGTACTTGGGGCTCCTTTCCTGCAGAGAGTGAGTGTATATGCTCAGACATCCGATGCTGTGTGACACTGCTTTACGATAAATGGAAACTTAGAGAAAATCCCTTGTAGATTCACCAAGAATGCCATAGTAATCACCTGTACTGTGGTCTCACAGCTTAGATACAAATTCCAAGCGGGTGGAACAATTGCAGCGGTATGTGACCAGGAGTATGAAATTATACTTTAAACCGAAAGAACTGGGAATATCTCTCTGGCAAATAACCAACTGCCCACTTACCATACCACACAGCTCCCACAAATGAGGGCGATACACGCATTCCAGCCTATCCGAAGATTACCACATCCACACCAGCAGCGCTTATAGTCAGTTCACGAGGTAAAGATGTGAGACTACAGTATTGGGAAACGGAGATCAGGAGAAAAGAGCAAGATGTATCGGATGTACACAACATGTAATGTATATTTCGAGGAAAATTGAGACCACGAGAACGTCTGTACAATGTTGGCAACATATCTAACATATTACAATACTGCCTAAACTTTGCTTTGATATCTAACATGGCAACGAGGAGGGAATCAATTTGAGAAGTTGATTGGAAATACCAAGTACAGCGCATGGAAAGTTGAAAGCTGTAATGACGCCAACAATTCCAAGAGGATTCCACATCTGCGAAAGGGCAAGGTGCCACGAAGTTTTGAATGTTCGGAAGATACCCTAATACTTCTCGAAAGTTTCGTGCACAAATTGAGCAATAACAATGATGGCTGTGACCTCACTACCGATGGGACAAAGGACCTAAGGGATCTCAAAAGTAATTTCGCTGCCATAATCGTGCTTTGCGGTTGGATTCTCCTGAAAGCACACTGGGTCTCCGGGACCCGCTTCATTCGCTCTGTCATGCTTTACGAAGCTTTCTAACCGAAGAAAAAATAAAATTTGGAGCTTCCGTCGGACATCACAAAGGCATCAGAACCATACCTCTAGCATAATATGATTTGGCCCTGCAAGAAACCGAGCGGAAATGAGCATCAAGCGATCTTACCATTAGTAATAAATCTGCTTCCAAATCATCGCAAGGCTGCAACTGCGGGGAAACAGTCCTGTCTAACTTTTGCCCACCTACCGGGGATCCATAACGACTAGGTGGACTAGTGACTGCAAAAGGCTGATTGGTTGGCAAAATGCACTCAATATTTCTTTACAGATCATGTTAGGCACGTGGAAGAACAGATTTCTGCCTCACTTGAGGATAACAGCAACCACACGACAGCATCGAAAAAATGACTTTGAGAGTCATGAAATTCTCCGAGGACAATGTGTGTTTTATCGGTTGATCAACCTGGTACCTTCCAACAAGGTATGCGATAACTCAATCAACCAACCATAAAGAGGCACAGCAAGTGGACTTACTTTCTGAAGGAATGACAGAGCCGTTAATCTGTCTGCTTAAGCCCACAGCAAAGTCACACATGTCGATAAATTCCTGCAAAAGCGATGGCCAAGCAGAGGTAATCACTGAACAATCCGTGTCGGAGAAAATTGTTCATATCGGCCAACGGCATTCTTAACCACAAGCAGTAACACAATACTTTTGCCACATCCACTTACTCCATTGAGAGGACAGAAGGCTGTGACATGTAGCTTACCTGGACTTCTCCGATTCCTTCGGCCAATATCTTTCCCATTTCCAGGGATATGAGCCTCCCGAGGGCATCTAAGTTGGCTCGTAAGACATCTCCGATTTGCCTGACGATCTCTCCCCTTTTGGGTGCGGTTGTCTGCAAACGTCATGTGCAGAAAGGGAAACAATTTGTCATAACGATGCGTGGAAAGAAAGACAGAAGTAGTGTAAAAAATGTCAGGCAGAATCGAAAAGCGTACCTGCATCCATTCCTTTTTGGCTAGATCGCATGCTGTCAGAGCTTCTTCATAATCGTCCACATTGGCTTCTGCAACCGTTGCGATAGGCTGCAGTAATAAAAAGAAGAACAGCAGAGCTGTCTGTTATGGGCGTTCAGATGTTCAAAACATGTACAAACCTCTAGCATGTTCAGAATTTAGTCTACCGATTTCAGGAAGCTCGAAATCACACAAGCCCTGCAGAGTTTCAGCTCTTTCTCGTTCTCATTTTAGTAACTAAATTAACCAATCGTCACCCGCAGTTAAAAGAAAAGCAAGCATCATTCTCGAGCGCTCTTGAGATATCTAACGTTATTTTCAGACTTTCTCTGAAATTTAAGCTTCTGCAATTTGCAGGACAGTAGACATCCCAATCGAGGCAGCTTGAGGGAGAAAAAAATTGATATCTCGATTACACGCCGCACGCCATGTCTTTTGCAATTAATTGAAACAGCGTCCCGTAGATATACACCGAGAGGACAAGGAGCAATCGGACATAGATTCAATATCAACGACCCTATCAAACTGTGAATCACAATCGAACTCATTCCCAAACCTACAGAGCATATGTCTCCAGAGTCATCTCGCGACTACTTTCTTCCTTGCACTTTGCAAAACTGTAAATTCACAAGAGAGTCGTCAAAGGACTGCATCGAATTCTCGACAAAATCGCACGGAATCGATCGCCCAATGAAATTGAAGAATTGTGAATTCTGTGAAACACGGCTCCCGCCCACTTGTTCATAATTCCAATTACGTACCAGTAAGCTAAAGATCTCGCAACTGGTGACGACAGAGTAAGAGGTGTCGGATCAGTACCTTGTTATTGGAGGGGTTCACAGACGTCACTATCGGACCGCTAGCTTTCCACTCTCCGGCGATGTAGCATCCAACGTTGTGTGCTTGCAATCCCAACCCCGAGAGAAATTTGTACTCGCCATTCTGGAAGTCGAGCCCCATCTCTGCTGCTGCACTAAACTCGATTCGATCGGATGAACTCTTCACGCGCACTCGGCGATGGCACCACACAGCCTCTCGCTTCGAGTGTCAAGAATCCGCAGAAGCACAAATACGGCCACACTCCGTCCCCTTAAACGCTCCCATCGTCTGCCGTTGCGTTACAGCGGTCCGTCCGTCCGTCCGCCCGCCTTCGGGCGCCTCGTCAGCCGATCCGTCGTCCATCGAGCCATGGCTCGATGGCGGCCGAATTTGCGCGGTGCATAGCCTCGACGAGTCTGATGTGGCGGTGCCAGCAGCGCGCGACACGGCGGCCGCGGCCGCGGAAGACGGCCCGCCGGCCCCGCAGGATTTCGTCTGGTCCGAGCACCGCAGACCGGCTTCGACGCATCTCCCGCTCCGAGAATGAGAGAATGTCCCGCTCTCTCGCCTACCGGCCGGCTAGGCGACCAGCCTCCGGTAAAGCTGCACTGGGTCCCACCGGGAGCGGGAGGAGTTGACTAGTTATCGCCCAACATTCGTTGCGGTCAAACGCGCGCGCGCTCTCCGCTTTGGATGAAGAGAGCGTTGTGGCCATGAGCCCTGTATTCACTCAACCGCTCGTCCTTCGTTACTTTCTTTCGCCCGAGCTTTGAGTGTGAGAGAGAAAAGGTGACGTGAAAAGCTTTCGGTTGATGACGATTATGAGTCGCCACTTGACTCTCGGGCATTCCTTCACGTCAAGTTGTAATATTCGGTGCGAGACACGGGAAATTTGGCTACCGTTTCCTGACGCGCTGGGCTGGCATTTTCCTCGTGTGTGCACCCGAACGGCTGCTCCTATTCTCGTCCTAGGGCTGTGCGGACTCTTTTGTGTACGCGAGCATTGTGAATCCCCTCCTCCACCTTACCCAGGGAAGCAGGGCAAAAGCTGAGCTTAGATTTGGTCTAATATTAGGTCTGATTCTCTGTTCTGCTCATTCCGTTCTGCCTCGTGTACAAGAGTGCTGTAAAAGAAAAATGCTGTGGAGGTCTGAAGGTCTCGAGCCAGCTGGAGAGATTAGTGTGTTTGATTGATATGAAGTTGGCAGGCTGTAGTTTCCTGTCATGTTTTTCCTCCGACTTGCTCTGTTGTGTAAATCACGCCGCCCTTCCATTCGTTCACATTGTAATATGGATGAACTAGTGGCAAGAAAATGTTGACATTGCAAGTGCTATAATTGATTCATGCTAGGAAGATCAACAACAAGCATGGAATGTCCCATAAGTAATACATGAATGATTTTAAGCAGTTAACATTGGACGAGGAATCAATTGTATCACGATTGCACCAAAGATGTTTAATCTATTGCAAGAAGAAATAAATTCATATTTGCTATAATCATTTTCCCGAGATATTTCTACCGTAAATGATATTCAAAGATCATAAATAAAATGATTGTCATAATATGGATTGCTAGTATCTATAGAAAAACCAAAACACATAAGCTAAATTATTTCATGGATTATTTTAGTAATAATATTTCTTTTGTTGGGAGTGAATCCAGATCTTCTTCTAACTCTAATAGTTTGATTCCAATCAATAGAACTGATTAAAGTGCCATTACAAGAAAATTCTCAGTTACACAAATTAGAATAATTTTCTCGGTTAAACCATTGTGTTCCCGTGAACGAATCCGTATTTGAAGGAGTCCACATGTGTGCAAGTGCATTTTCAGGATCAAAAGTTGCTAAACGATTTATATCAAAGCCGGGTTTGAGAGCCGTGTGTTTGTTTGGATCAGTTTCTTCTCCGACATATTTCGCTGTGGATATCAATTTTTTCTCAGTTTTACCCATTGCAAAATCTGTTATAGATTTGATGCTCATAATGCTAAACTAGAGTAGCACAAGGGTGCGGCAAGTTGCAATTTTGATCCTACTCGTCTTGCGGACCCTGGGCTCTATTTTCCTCTTCCATCCCATGAACCCTGCGGCTTCATATATCAGGTCATATCCAATCGGAGACAGGAGACGTATTGACTTGTTGAACAAATTTGAACATAGTGATTGATGCTTTTCTCCGAGCAAAAATGACTTCATCATTTGTTCAAACGGCACACGAGTCGTTAGATATGTTCCGTGTCTGCTGCAGTCGAATAAATTGTATTTTTGATAAGAACAGCAAGAATTTGTGCCGGCCAACCAAGTGTTGATGATCCATTTTCATTATTTAGCCGGAATAATGAACAACGATCCCCACTACTCTATTTCAGAGTGTTGGAGATCACTTGCAGGTGGGCCTAGCGTATGGCTTCAACACTCTCTTCAGTTACAACGCAACAATCTTTCTGATGCTACTCATGAGGAGTGCTAGTTCACCCTACCTAGCTAGCGAGAATTGCTCTCCAACGCAGAAGTAAATCTCACCAATCTTGCTTTTTCAACGAGAAACCAACGCAGTCTTTTCAAGAATGGGCCAAGAGAATCGAATTTGCCAAATTTTCCTATCTCGGCCAGTCGCTGCTAGTCCAATCAGTCCGTTTCAAGTTTTCCAACCATCACCACCATGCCCACGAAGACTCACCTTGAATCTCATGAGCCTCCGCGTGAGGAGGACTGCGAGTGCTCAGTCTCTCAATTTGCTCAGAGAGACTGAGCAAATTACCCAATTAAATTTAAAAATATACTTTACTTTATCTGTTAAAGTGGTAATTATCCAATAAAAATAAAATTTCTCTTTGATTTATCCGTTAATCAAATAATTAGGCAATAAAATAAAAAATACATTTTAATTATATTTATTCATCTACGTTCTTAAATCATCAAATGGTTGCATATGATGAAAATTTCTAATGACAACTTCTGAACATCAATATTTGAATCTCTTCATTTCTACTGAATACAGAGATTATCAGTTTGCCAATAATAAGTGAAAAGCTTAATTTATTATCTAAATAATATATATAAGATGTATAAATATATTTTTTTAATTTGTTAAAATCTTTCGATATAAAACATAAAAAAATTGTCTGTGAAGGATGAAAATACTTTATCATTTTCTATTCTTAATCTATTCTTTTATTCAAAAGATGACTTAAAATATACAAGAAAAGCTTGAGCACCATTAGACAATTGTATTAGTTATGTCATAAAATAACAATCTTAGCATATTAACCGAAAGACATGTTATTGCTTTTGCTCTGATATAGGATTATCCACATGTTTATAATTATTATCCTAGAAGCCATAAGTTTTGTTACGTACAAAAATTTTGATATATAAATATTGACAACTTAAGAGTTAATTATTTAGGTAATGAATAAATAAACCGACATTACCTTTCTCTACCCTCTATCTCACACATTGATAATTTTACTTCTTTACCAGGTAATTTACGTTACCAAGCACTATCTCCGCGCTCGGCGGGACGGAGACGCGGACAGTGGATGGGCAACGACAGAAATTTGGAATCAGGTTGCGGGCAAGCCGTGGATTGAATGACGACGGGCCTTGTGTCGCACGCGATGTCCGAGGTTCCACATGCCACCGCTCGAGAAGGAACTCAAGCGGGAGGAAGTGAAATTGCTACTACAGATGTACTGTACTTCTCGCAAGGCCTCTTCACGATGATGAGACGATGTGCACATGTCGAGGTTCTGCCGTCAGGCACGACGATCTCAACCAAGTCAAGCCGCAACCGTTCGACTTCTTTCTTCTTTGGGATCTTGAAGGGATGGTGAAGATTTTGAAGTTTCTCGTTCTCCTTCTGCAAGTCGACGATCGTTTCCATCTCTTCGTCCGCCCTACAAAGATCAGCAAGGAGTGGATCAAGGCCTCCATCCCGAACAAATACAGAGTGGATGTCAAATGCAGCCTTGAGAGTAGGATTGGAGGCACAACAAAATTTGTGCCCGTATTACAATCCTTTCAAGATCAAAAGGCATGTACGTATTACAATACGTACATTTTACCGTATCAGAAAATGTATGTCTATGGAAAAAAACCACTAATTAGATCAATCAACACAAAAATGAAAGCTTCAAACCCAGAACAGACTAAAGCAGAATCTCCAAGTAAAAATAGTTTTATTTCCCCACTTATCCCACAATCTATAACTTTAGAATATACGTATAAATATATGTATACATAAAAGCATGCCTCATATGGAAAATGCGAATTAGGCATGCCCTCGCCCCCGGGCATGCCCTTTGAGGTTGTGCATCCAACTCTACTTGAGAGGCTGCGTCACAACTATGGGTCTGTATAAATGGATTCTTAGGGGAATACGTGGTAAAATACAGTATTATACCAATTGTATTATATAACACTCAGAGGTCCTCCTTACATGTTACTCTAAACTCTTATGTTATCATTTGTAGATGTTACCTTTGGCCTTGAAGATACTCTTTATGTCGCGGATTCCTTTAGAAATGTCAATGCGATCAAATGTATAATCGCTATCACCACTAACATTCTTGTAAACGGGATATTCTTCAAGTTCAGCTTCATATCCGCTATCAAGTTTTTTATGTATGCCAAATAGCTTCTTTTGGTTTTCCGATGTCGAGTGAAGTCCATGACAAAAATGATATGTTACACTTGTAACAATCGAGCAACACTTGGGCGGACTCCTAGTGACTACTTTCGGGATTTAATATCATACAAGGTATGGTTTGGGATTTTTGTATAATAAAGTGGTATAATACCATGGGTTTTAATTATACGTACACACCCATAGTCACAACACAGCAATACCCTTCATGGAAGTGCTGCGCTTTGTAAGTTGAAATCAGATACATTTTGTTATACGCTTTCACAAAAACACAGCAATATTGCACGAGCACACTAAACCTAAAGATACCATTTGTTACACGCACACTATATACTGAAGTACCTGGTTTGTTAGTTTTGTTTTATAATGACAGCTTAACCTAATCCCTAACTAGGGTTAAAGTGAACTAAGTTAAAGATTTGAGTTAAATCTTAGAAATTTTTTCAAAACCAATTTCTCATTAGATATTATCATGTCAAATCATGATTAGTTATTTTCTAGGTATGTTATTATTAGTTAGATATGTTATTAGATATGATAACATGCAAATATATGATTTTGTTACTTACTTTATCTTACTATGTTATTTTCATGTTGAATTGCCCCATATTTGGTTATTTATGGGGCAATTCAACACGAAATTTAATATATCATTGAACACAAAGAAGAAGCATGCTGAAATTTATTGATGCGTGATGACTCTCATTTTTTATAATTTTTTTTTACTTTTTTAAACAAGACAATAAGG